CCTTCTGCTGCCGGCGAGGCGCGGTGCCCTCCTGCAGCCGGGCCGAGAGCCTCAGTGGCGGCTGTCCGATGTGCACAGCAGCTGTCCGCCCTGCTCGGGGCAGCTGCAGCGCTGGGAGCCGCGGATGGTGACGGTGCCGGCGGGCACGGCCATCTCCTCCTGGTCGTAGCACACACACTGGGGACAGCCGTCGGCCCGCGGGCTGCCCAGGGCGAGGCAGGCGGGCCCGGGGCTGGGGCAGAGCGGCGTGCAGGCGATGTCCCCGCCGGGCCCGCAGGTGCACAGCTTGCGGCCGAAGTCGATGTAGAAGGAGCGGCCGGCGGGGACGCTGGAGAAGCCCTGCATGTCGCAGTCATCGTGCAGGTAGGGCGGGCAGGGGCAGGGAGGGGGGCACGGCGGGCAGCAGCCCCCAGCAGCGGGGCTGGCTGTCCCCTCAGGGCCCCCCTCAGGACACGGGCCGCAGGCACTGGGGTCACAGGCGGGTTTGGGGGCCGCGCTGCTGAGCAGGAGACAGGCGAGCCACAGGCGAAGGGCGCCGAGGAGAGCCATGATTCTGAGGGGAAAAGGGGGAAATGGGAGCGGTGTCACACCGGGCGTGGGCACACTGAGGCCCCTCCAAGGTGTAAAACCGAGGGAGTGCGGCCCTGTGTCCTTGACAAACCCGTGGCTGGAGTTTGGATCACCCACGGCTGCACAGCGCCAAAACCAGAATTTCTCATGACCAAAAACCCATCCTGGCTCCACCACGGTGCCCTCCACCCCGGGGCACCCAGGCTAAGCCCACACTGCAGCACCCACCGAGCAAACGGGCCTTGTTCACCCTCATATTGATGCTAATAATTGACATTTAAATGACTAATTAATTAATCCTAGAAGGCATGCAGGCCTGGACAGAAGAAGGGCTTGAAGAAGCACTGTCTGCTTTGGTGGCTTGTCCTGTGGCTGCTCCAGGCACCAGGTCTGGGTGTCAGCTCCCAGCCTGTCCTGCTGTGCCACTCGCTGCCTGCCTTTTCCAGCCACCTCACTCCTTCAAAGGAAGCCAAGGGGGGTCACTCTTCGTTTCAACTGGAAAAACCTTTTTTTCTTAAGGAAGATGTTTCCAGTGTTGGGCATTTATGTGGGACTCTGCTCTTTGCTTTCTCCATTTCTTTGGCCAGCCTGTTTTCAGAGAGTCAGTCCTGGCGTGAAATTCCCTCCCTGTGACTGCTCCCTCCTCCTTCTCCACTCACACCTTGGATGTGCGGCACCTGGCAACCCATGCTGAATCCTTTTCCTGTTTAAAGGCTGAGGACTCTTTTTTTTTCAGCTTTTCAAGATTCAGTTTCTCCTTTAAGTGCATTTTTGGATCCCTTCCCTCTGTCTGAGTGACCTTAGGTCCTGCTGTATTAAATACACCTTTTTCCTTCCTGCACTGGGTCTCTCCAGGTCTGGTCTCTTCTTCCATTGCCCCAATGCTTTGATTATGTTTATATCATCACCCTTTGATAGCCCCAATTTCCTACTCTTGCAGGCATGCAGCTACTCACAATTTCTTAACATCTCTTTAAACAAAAACATTTGTAAATTGCATAACCATAAAGAAAAAACTTGAAAGCACAGACTCTGTCCATTATCATTTAAAAAAATAATAATACTTTCAAGGTTTTCCGGTTTAAAAGCAAGCTTTTGCTAGTTTAAGTTACTTAGACTCGCTTTATCTTTGCTGGAGTTCACTGTTCTGCCCCTTCCTTTCATTCACACATTTTAATCCAGTGGTTATTTTACTGCTGTTCCCAGAGGACTGGCACAGAACCCAGACATGCTCCCCATGGAAAAGCTGCAGCTGGAAAGGATCTCCCTTCCCCAAGCCAAGAGCTCCCTCCTGGCTGCCCCAACTTCAGCCACATCAGCTTCAGTCCCATCCATTGCCAAAACATCTGACCCCACCCAGCAGTGAAATTGGGCACCTTTGGCAGAGCCAATTTCCAGCAGAACCGCGCTATGGGTCTGGCACTGAGCAGCATCAACAGCCTCCCGCTATTTCCTGGGGAAACCTTCATCCTCCCCCTCCCTTCTGGGGATCCAGGCTGGCCCTGGCCCGTTCCCAGTGCCCGAGGTTCCCGGGTTACCTGCAGGGTGGCCGGGCAGGCAGGACGGGCTCTGGGGTGCGCTCCCCGCTCCTGCCCCACAGCGCCCGGCACCTCTATTTATGTGGCTGCACGGTGAAACCCTGGCGGGGGGAAGGGGAGGCGGGGAAGCCTCCAAGGTGCTGGGCAGGGCCAGCAAGATGCTTATCTTGCTCGTGGTGTTGGTTCAGTCTGAGCTCAGGCTAATCCGGCGTGTCCAGCCTCTGCAGGTCTGTCCCCACACTGCTCTGCCCCAACTTCACCAGGGTTCCCGAAGTATCAGCAGCCCCTTGTGCTTCACAGACTGCTGGGGACAGGGATACAGGGGTCCACAGCAAGGGAAAAATGAGTAAAAAGCTCTAGCAAGGCAGCACAGCTGAAATGCAGCCAGCTCTGGGGTGATACATCCCAAAATGCAGGAGCCAGTGGTGGGCATGGACCTTCTCAGAGCACATGTCCTTGTGTCCACACACCTTCCCAGCACAGGGCAGCCCTCCCGTGTCACACACTTGATGTGCACCCTTTAAAGCACTTGGGGTTTGTTCTCCTCTGGATTAAGCTGCAGGGAGCCAAGGCCGTGGATCTCAGCAGAGGAGGGGTGCATGAGTTTCATGTGCCCTGAGCAGCACAGACAGCCTGAGCTTCTTCCTCCCTGGGCCATTTGGTCCCTGATGTGGAAATGTCTTGCCCTGGTGTCATGGACTCACTGGAAATGCACCCCCAGCCTTGCAGAACAGAGGGATGAAGAGCAGAAGCATCTTGGGACAGGTGGGACTGGAAAGCAGTGAGGGTTTTGGGAGCACACACCCGTTCACCCCTTGGAGTAGGAGGTGTTGGGAGAAGAGCCCGGGCTGGAGCTGCAGGTCAAGGGAGCACTGGAGCTGGGCACTGCACTCAGCACAGTGGGCTGGGATGCTGCCTGGCCTTCATCCACCTCCTGCTTCCCTCTCATGGCTCCTGGAGCCTGGAAACCCCAATCCCTCTGGTCCAGAACCCCCACAGAACTAGCTCAAGAGCACTGAGCTGTGCCAGGCTGGGCAGCTGCCTCTGACTGGAGGCATAAAATATTGACAGGGTCTCAGTGGCGAGGGAGGGAAAAGGAACTGAAAGGACCATTTATCCAGAGAGGGTCATCACTGTCAGAGGACAGGCCTGGGGATGTGTGGGAGGGACACTCAGACATGCTGCTCCTGCCATCGATGCTGTGTTTGGGCACATGTTTTTAGGTCCTGCAGGCATTTCTGCACACGAGTCAAATAAAAACTCCTCCCTTGCTTCCTGAGGCCTTTTTCACACCAGAGACACAGTGGGCAGGATGGCACCAGCCAGTCCCTCTCACTCCTAGCCCAGCCCTCTGGGGTGGCAGTGGGGCCGTGCCCTGTGGGACATCCTCAGGCAAACATCAGGAGACACGACACCGACATCCCTGGGCAGGACAATGCCACTGCTGGATGTGCCTGCAGAGAGAGCCCCCAGGGACAGGGGAAGGCCCTGGGAGCACCTTGGTGAGCCTGGCTCCAGCCCAGGTGGAGCAGTCCTGAAATATCTGGGGCTCACACCCAACTTTATTAGCTCCCACACTCATAGTTAACATACAGAAGAAGTTGTAAATATTCGAGGTTAATACTCAGTGGTTACTTCACCTCTGCTGGAGAGCATCTGCCTGTCCTGGAGTCTGTCTGCAGCTGGCAGCCACTGCCCTGCAGCCCTCCTGCTGCTGTTGGAAGCACTGGGCTTTGGGTTAATCCGTAACAGCCAGCCTGGTCCAGACTCGGTTCAGTTTTTGTTTTTCTGGACAAATATGGTTATTGCTCAAGCAAAAACTCTCAGAAAATCTGATAATAGCTCTTGTCACTCAGGAAACAACAGACAGTAGAGACACTTTTCCTAAATGTAAATACTTCAGCATTCTATAATTTAATAAAAGTCTTGTACAAACTAGATTAGATTGGGAATATGGAGTAGCCACTTAGCAGCAAGCTGAAATTGAAATTGGTTGTTTCCATCTTGGACCAGCTTCTGAAACTTACAGAAAGACTGTTAACTTCTCTGGGTCTTTTGAGAGCAACTCCCCCAAGCTGGGTTTCAATGGCACTTCAGTTTGGTCCCACAACCCACTTTTGACATTTGCTTTCATTTATGTTTTTGGTAGCCATGGCAAATGACTCTTCTGACCTTCATTATCAGTTCCTGGAACCCAATGGTCTGACAGCAAAATGAGGACCAAGCATTGCCTCCCCCTGCACCCCTTGATAAGGAGCTCTCAGGATGCATATTCAGGGATGAAGCCATAGCTCCTCTCCCAGTTCCTGTTCCATGAATGAGTCTTTGCTTCTTGTTTGGGTTCGCTTCACTGTCCCCTCACGTGGGACCATGCATGGGGCACCCAGTGCCACCAAATCCCCCAGAGGCGAGGAAGGTGCTTTCCAAATTCCAGGTGACCATTCCCCACCAGCGCCTCATCCCCTCTGCTCATCTCAGCCCTCAGCTTTTCCTTCCCACCCTTCCTGCTGACACCTTTCACATTCTGGGGCTCTGTGTCCCACCCATTCCTCCCTCCTTGTCACACCTCTCCTGCCTTCTTGGAACCAAACACATCCAGGGATGAGGAGGAATGGCTCCTGGGGGTGCCTGCAGCCCTGCCTGGCTGGGCAGAGAGGGGCAGGAGGCTGCAGCAGTGATGTGACCTGCCCCCAGCCCTGCTGCTCCTGTTACTGAAATGGGGTCAGGAAAGCTCCCAGCAGCTGCAACACAGGCAGTGTGCAGGTACCTGCAGCTGGCAAACACACCAAACCTCCTCCTGCTAAAATCTGGGCAGGAGCAACCATCCCCTTCCCATCCTCACCTTCCCACATCCCCTGCCCAGCCCCAGGAAGCTCCATGTGACCACACATGGCTGTTAAACACAATTTCTTTAGTTATCTCCTCTTTAGTGATACCATGGGTGGCATTTTGCAGACAAATACAATACATCACAATTTTTACTTAGACATTTCGAGAAACTATTGGCTGGATTGAGCCAGAGGCTCCCTTGACCAGGTGGTTTGGGCTCCGGGGCACACCTGGACCTGCTGGAGGAGCGGGGCCAGCCGAGCTGCTCTGCTACTTCTTGTCGTTCCTGTTGACAAAGGTGAGGAGGTCCATGGCTGTGACCACACCTAACACCATCTGCTTCATGAAGGAGCTGCCGTTTCCACTGACTGGGAGCACAGAAAGTTCCAGCTTAGTGGCAAAAAAATAAAATAAACCACCACCACCATCCCCCACCAGCCCCCTCACCACCTTCCAGCTGTGCAGAGGCTGCTGTTCATTTATTAAAAGAAACCCTTAACAGGAACAGCACCTGTCTGAGTTCTACCTCCACAGAAATGACTGATGGAGCCTCAGTCAGGTTACTGGAATCACACCAGAGAGGCTTTTGCTGCAAATAACGCACCTTTGCCAAAGCAGGAAACTTAATTTCCCAGTGGTTTTTAGCCAAATTCTGTTCCAGTCCTGCTCCTATCACCACAAAACTTTTCAGAGCAAAGTAATGAGACTCTTTGAAAGCAGCAGTCAAGCACTTTTCTACTCTGTTCTCATAACATCCTACACCACATTAATGAAACAGCACTTCAATAATTGTTTTAACTGTCTGATAAATGTTTTCATAAATAAAAAATCAAATTAGCCACCAGAGTGCAAACACAAGATAAAATCCAAGCTCCAAAGGTGTGGGAAGAAAGTAATAAATAAGGGGATAACTGAGACAGCATTAAAACAGCAGCTCTGGAAAAGCAAGTGGGTGTTGTTTGAAAATCAGAGCAAGAGGTGCTGCAGACTAATACTGGCTGATATTTTTGTTAGGTGCCATTTAATTTGCTGATGCCATTTAATTTATACCAAAACGTGTTACAAAAGAGATATTCCTTATTTTATGACAACATAGCTGAGAAAGGGAATTCTGCCTGGCATTAATTTTGGTGATTGAATTGGAAATGTGCATCAAAGGCAGTTTTGAGTGACAGATTTTTGTCTGCAACCTGTTGTGGGAACATGGATGGAGTTGCAAGCTTCAGAGCTGGTGGGCTCAGGGGAAGCAGGGCCTGGAGATGGAAGGTTTGGGATGTTTGGTGGGTTTTGGAGGCCCTGAGTGGAGCAGGCAGCTCCGTGCTGGCAGTGTCACCCACTGCTCACCCAAGGGATGTTTTGCACACTCAGTGTGTAAAATCCCATGAAATCAGCATAATTACACCCTTCAGCTCTAATTCACAAGACCTAAACTCTTTTGACTGCTTTTTTGTGTTGCTCACTTTTCCCAGCCAAGGTCAAATCTGTACTCCCAGAAGTCTTTTAGTGTGACTGTACCAGAAAGGTGTGTCAGGTCAGATGTGCTGAGCAGCACCTGCCATCACAGCTTTTTTGGGTCAGAGGAGGCACTGGGGTGATCCCAGCTGCCCCTGATGTGTCAGCAATCCTGATGCTGCTGTGCTGCTGCTGCAGGTGACTCTGCTGGGTTGGTTTGCTGCACCATGGTGCTCCACCAGGATTGAGAACAAACCAAACCTGCTTTAATGGTGTTCCCAGACTGGCACAGCATCCCTACTCCCAGCCATGGTCCAGGTAAGAGACACACAGCTGCCCCAGGCCACACATCAGTGCCCTGATGACTCGTGCCACGGGGCTTGCTCATGGCCCAACCCAGTTTTTCTCAGCTTTCTCAACTTAGGTGTCTGAATTCCACCCAGGCTTTACCTAATGTGGCCAAATGCTCCTTCTGACCTTGCCCCTGGGCTGCAGAAGTCTACAACAGAGATCCCTAGTGTCCCCCTTGCTTGCTTTGCCCCTCTCCCCTCATCTCTGTGGTGTCAGGAAGAGACACAGGTGAAGAGTGGGCAGTTGCAGGGCTTTGCAGAGCAGAAACCCCTTGTGCAGAGGCTCAGGGGCTGCACAGGTGCAGCAGCTGCACTGACACCTGCCACAATCTGCTTGAGAATTTCCCTTTCCCCTCCCAAACACTTGTGCCAAGCCCCTGGAGAGTTTCTGCAGATACCTACACTGCATCTGCTCGAGTACAATGATTGCAAAGTGGTCGTTCTCCAGGATGCAGGAAAGCTTCCCCAGGCTGTCCTCCAGGCCGATCTAAACGGGACAAAATGTTACATTTGACATTTTACTTCACCTGACAATGGCTGAGCTCTGATTTTGGAGGGTGCTGGATGAAATCCCCTGTCAGTGCTTGGCTCCTGCCGTGAAAAGCTCCCGTACCTGAACCCTGCTGGGTCAGCAGAGTTTTTACAGGTGCTTGTTCTTACTCTCATCTCCAAGATATCACCACTGCCCTCCCCACTCCTCTCTGCCTTCACATCTCTGCCTTCTCACCGACCTCTTCTCACAGCTCCTCTCACACCCCAGGGTGGTGGTGATGCACCTCTCCCTCTCTCCCTGTCCCCAGACAGAGGCTGACACCAGCCCAGCCTCAGTGGTACCTTTGAGAACTGGTCGTAGGTGACCTTGGTGACAGGGTCTGAGAACTCCGCGTTTCCAGCCAGCACGGAGCTGAGGGTGTTGCTGAGGGTCACCATTCCCAAAATAAGCCTGTAAGGGAACAGGGAGTTTTCCAGGTGGTTAGAGCTGAGGTAGAACATGCATCTAACGTAGGGGCTGAACTGCTCAGGTTGAAGTCAGTGACTGAATTGTTGCAGCAGTCAGTGGGAGGCAGCAGGTTTCTCCTCACTTGAGCAGAACAAGGAAGCCTTTGTCCTCACCAAGCTGTTGGTTTCACAGTAGTTAAAATCTGCTATTGCAGCCCAGGACTTAGCAGCTGGGAGAAGGAAAACCCATGGGCTCTCCAGCTGCTTATTTGTGTGGGTTTCCCCCAGCTCTCACTCCCCTGGGTTCCCCTAGCCTGTGCACTGATCCAGCGTCTTCCGAGTCCAGTGGGCACTGGACTGGGCTTTAACTGGATCTTTTACAGGAGTTTTATTGATGAATCTTCACAAGGAGGCAGATGATCTTTTTTAAATTATGCATCAGAGTCCAACACAAGAGCCTCAACTCTGAATGAATAAATGGGATTTAACTTCATCATGACTGATTTTTCTGTATGAATGCCCATCTCTGTAGTGAGCAGAAATAGTTACCCTGACTCAGCAACAACAGGAGCTTGGTTATATCCCTTCTCCTGGAGGATCTCAATTGCCTTTTGACAGCTGACTTCTGGGAGGAGAATGAGAGGGGCTGAGAGGTTCAGTTTCTGCACCTTGATGTTCCACCACCTGTTGAAAGACAAATGGCAGCGCCGAGCTGTGACTGCTGCACAGCTGTGGCCTTGAGCAGGGGGACAAGGCCAGAGGAGATGAGGGATAGTCTGTCTGCCTGAAAAGCCAGCCCCACTCCTATACCCAAAGCAGAAATGCCACCACGGCCAGATCTTGTTGAAGCCAAGCTTTCCCTACGCCCCGTGTTCATGCAGCTCCAGAGGTAGGGATGAGACCAGCAGCTGGCAAGGTGCTGAGCTGTCCTGAATCCAAGGAAGCTACTGAGGGCTTCACTTCAAGCTCATAAATGGGTGACCTACCAGTTTTACTCCTTTGTTCAGTATCCTTGGTCCTCACAAGGCAGCATTTGCAGCTCCTGCAGGAGAGAGCCTGGCAGAGATGCTCGTGTGACTTATGAGGGACAAGCTGAGCTTGTTTGTGGGGGAACACAAGCAGCTCCCAAACATCTCAGCCCTGAGTCCTTGCAGAAAGGGCAGGGCAATACTGGAGCCTGGAAGGGCCAAAAGCAGCTCTAACCAGACACAAGAGGCCTGGAAATATATTAAGTTTTCAGGAAATATTTTACAGTAACTTTTGGTAAAGGGGAAGGTGACACCAGTAATACCTGCTGTCCTTAGGGTGGGACCAAGAGCTTTTCTAAACAACTGGCATTTGCCCAGCCACACATCAGCAGTTTGCCTGTGACTCCCTGCCTTGAGGGGACTCTTGCCCCATGGTATCCATCATTTCTGGCAGCAGCTCTGGAAGGTGAAAATTTCCTGTCCCCTGCCTGAAATGAGCTGCGGAGCTGTTTAGAAAGGGGCTTGCTACAACAGGGACCCACCCTCCCCAGCAGTCTGATGGTCCTTTGACATCAGATGTGGAGTAGAGAGAGCTTTTCAGAGGGTTTAGGTGGCCTGGGCTGCCACATGGGAGTGGATCAGCTACTTTGGGACAGAAATGGCTCCTTTATAGACTTTGATTGGAAAGCTGAGATATAACCACCCAAAAGAGGAGCTGACATTACAGTCTCCCCAGAGGGGTCTGGACTTTACTGTGTTTTTTCTAAACACTAAAAGGGAACATTTTCCTTTGAAGATAATGATTTCCAGACTCAGAAAGCTGATTCCCTTAGCACAGTTTATCCCAGCAGAAGTTCTCTTACCAAGGCTTGTGCTCCTGGACGTCATTTAGGAACCCATTACTTATCATCCACTTATCATTCACAAATTTGGACCTAGAAATCACCAACAAAGAGCAAGTCTGTGAGGCTTCCAGAAGAAGTCGTGCTTTGTTTCATGCACCAGACCACAGCACTGCCCCCGGGGCTCTCATGATTTTTGCAGCTGGCTGCTCTCAGCCCCTTTTAAGGTCAACAGGAGCATTGGGTGCTCAGTAACTCTTCGAAGCATGCCAGCTATTTGCCTTCCTAACTTTAGGCATGCACGCTCAGAAAGCGTAGCTTGGCTGAGTCCTGCTCCGTGCAGTAAGTCAGTGATGAGAGGAAATAAACCCCAAGTGCCCCAATCCCCTGGTGATTGCCACAGTGGTGTGCTGCTTCTCCCTGTTGTTTATTTTGCTTTTTTCCTGTGATCTGCCCGAGGGAGACTCCCAGCTCTGGGCTCACTCCATGATAGCCTTGCTATCAGATTTATTGGGGTGGTTCTCCAGAACCCCAAGCTCCTGGGTTCAGCTCCTGCCACAGAAGGCCATGGGAGCTCCCCCACTGATGCTGGAAAGCAGGGGAGGGAGCGGGACACTCACATGTAGTTCCGGATGGAGTCGGGCAGGATGACAACGCAGCGCTGACCCTCCTTCAGCTCCTTGGCTGCCTTCACAGCCACAGACATGGCACTGCCCGAGCTGCCACCTGCATGGGCACCAAGGAGAGGTGTCAGGGCTGCCTGGGGTGCAGGGCCAGTGTCCTGGTGTGGGGAGCACAGACTGCCCCAGCTGAGGTGCAGAGGCGGCACCTCATGGTTTGGGATGCTGGGATGGGAGGACAATCTGTCCCAAAGCCTTGTAGGTTTTAGGGCCAGGCAGAGGTAGGGACTGATGGGACGTGTTCGTATGGTGGCTCTTGGGCTTTTGAGGCAGCATAAGTCACCTCATGGACTCCATGAACCACTTCTTCTGGTGACTGTGGGCAGACCAGGGGCTGAAAAGTCCCATGCAGGGACATTCAGAACACGCTGCCCACACCACACCCTCCCTTTGCATTAGCAGAAGACCATGCCAGTTCTAGAGCTTCTGGCTGACACACTTGGCAGCCAAAGATTGGCTTTAAATGCACTGTAAAGACTGAAAAAACCATAAACATTACATTCATGCTTGGAATACCAGGCCAACGTGATGGGCAGACTTGAACACTCCCCGTGTCTGTGTGCACGCATGTGGTTTGCTGCACGTAGGGAAAGCAGGTCCCTGCTTTACAGAGGCAATTCTTCCACCACCAGTCTGAGTGCTGGAAGTCAAACACATTCCACTATCTGTGTGCCAATTACACACTTGCATTCAAGGCAGCACGTATTTTACAGCAGGTTAATTATCCCTGGGTCACGTTTTTCAAACAAACGAGGAACGGCCCTGAAAAATGCAGTTCAGGGAACGTGAAGCTGTTCACAAATTATGGTTGAGTTCAAACAAGTGGTTTCTGTTGAAACACAGTGACTCTGTGCCTGCTAGGTTAAATCAACATTTAAGTGTTTCATTACATATATATAGCCTGATCTTTTCCAAAACTCCTTGGATATGAGTGCTCAGGGCTTTTATCAGCTGTAACTACAAGCCTACGTAGTGTCTGGTCCTGGATGCAAAACCTGTGTCTGTTTGCTTGGTGTCAGGGAAGGCTGAAAACAACACTGATGCTCTGTGAAGGCTCTTAGGGTACAGGCAGGGTCTGTCTGAGGGCACCTGTTCATTCTGGGAAGCCAGTGGGATCACTTACAGCTTGTTGGCACAGGGAGAAATACTCAGTAAGAACATCTCACACTTTCTTTGCTTTCAAACCTTCCTGGTCCAAACCTGGCACCTCTGGCGTGGCAGTGACACCGAGCACGGCCTCACAGAGCTGTTGGCAGAGCCCACCTGTCCTGCCCTGAGCCCCACTAATCCTCCCTTCAGCCTGTGCAACTCTACACTGCCTGAAGATCCAGTTCCACTGCAAAAGTGCTCCAGTAAGGAGAGAATTATTGCTTCTATAATTACTGTGGCCCATGAGTCAGACCCCAGACCAGACTGAGGGACACACCTCTGGAGTCTGCAGTGACCTCTGCACAGCCCCAGGCTCAGCCTTTCAGCCCTGCTGACCCAGCAGACACCAAATGCAGAGAGCACTCACCCTGGAGCGTTTTGGTCCCAAAAGGATGAGGTTCAGAAGGTTTGTTAAGAGAACAAAACTGTTGTGGCTGCATGCTTACCACACAATAACCCCTCCTCTCTGATCAGCCTGCGGGACATGAGGAATGAGTCTCTGTCATTGCATTTGTACCACTGATCGACCACCTGGAAGGAAAGCAAGGAGGATGAGTCTTGGCAATCTCATTTCAGGCTGCCCTGACCCTCTGAAACACACCATGGTGCTGATGCCCACAACATCTGGCAGCCCTGAGCTGCCCTCCACACTTGTTGAAAGCATTTGTCAGAACACCCATGGTCTGGAGGGTGGGTTCTTGCTTGCAGACACCCACACCTTTCCAACCAGCACCCTTTCCTTGGAGAGTTAGGGATGCCTGACAGGTCCAGAGTTAGGATGTGGAAGAGTATTTATGATGTCCCAGGCCAGAGTACATTAATGGTTGAGAAAATGAGATCCAGCTACAAGGATCAGTCTGTATTAGGGTGACAGCTCTACAGCCATGTGCTGACAGCAGGGATGTAGTCAACACCTGGAAGCAGAAGGAATCTGGGGTCTAAGGCTGTGAGGGACCTTTCTAGAATGAGGCCAGGGGAACACAGGCAGCCTGTGTTAGGGATTACAGCTTACAGACTGAGAGGGAACTTGACAAGAAGAGCTACAAGGTTCATGGTCTGCTGTCTTACAGGGCTTGGATCTTGTCATCCAGCCTGTGCATGGTGCAGTATTTCTGCTCTCTGTGTGGGGTGCCTGAGGCAGAGAAGGCTCAGGAAACAGCAGAATGATGAGGAGCAGCCTCAGCCCAGACCTCTGTGCGATCACAGTGGAAAGGACACACTGAACAATGGTGAGGCTGAGCAGAGGAGACTCACACTGTGTTATATGCCTACTTTTCACTCTATTTGCCTTCTCCTTGTGGGTCAGTTATAATCAGAGTTACTCAGAAAGCAACTGGGTGTCCCAATCCCCCCACAACATTTCTGCACTGGGAAGATATGTCAGGGCCACCACACCTCTGGCCTGGGGAGCAGGCTGGATGCAAAGGCAGAGATCAGGCAGAGGCCCCTCTTCCCAGGGTTACTCACTGATCTGTCCAGGACTGTGGGGATGAAGTCGTGCCCAATGCCCTCCACCTCGATGGTTGTGGTGTTGGTCCTGTTCATCTCACTGGGCAGAGCAACGATGGAGCCGTCGGGGTCCACGCCAATGATCTTTGAGGGAAAGACATTTTGTCAAGCCAAGTGGGAATTCAGAAACAGCCAAACACAAAACCCAAAGGAAAAGTTACCCTCACTCTTATCAGCAATGTTTCCTTCCCGTGATACTCATTAATATTCCTAATCATTGGCAGCATGGAGAGCTTCCAGGATAAGAGGGTGCTGTTTTTCACTGTCTTTTAAAATAGATCCTAGGTGGCTTCAGCTGTTGCAGAAGTGACTGGTGGCTTAAAATGTTATCACTCTCAAGGTGTTTGTCATCACCCCTTTGGCAGAGCCTGCCACTTCCAAAGCCCAACCCTTAGGACAGTGCCAGAGCTCCTTAAGCTATTCTAGGTGAAGCAGCCAGTGAGCTCCAACCTGTGGAAACCTGTGGATACAGACATCCTTTCTGGATCTAGTTGTGCTGGCTGATGTTGACACCTCCCTGGTTATTTACAGCTTGGTGTCTGGGCTCAGGTGCCTCCCTCAGCATGCAGCTTGAGAAGGGATGGTGACACTGCTCCACATGCAGCTGCCCACTGCCAGGGAGGTGACCTCAAGTGCCAGTGCTCCAGTGGTGGGTCCACACCTCCCTGGTGGATCAGGGATCACTCACAACTGGCCAGACCAGAGAAGCAGCGACTGTCACGCCTCCAGTCTGCCTCAAAGCATGACCTCTGCAGGATGAGCATTGTGACAGATGTTAACCCTAAAGCACAGAGGGTTTTGCAGTGGCAGAGGAGAAACATTTGCAGTCTGTGCCCCCCAGTGTGTCCTGCACAGGACATGGCACCAGGCAGGGGGAGATTTTAGTGGGGCTGTTGAAACTTTGGTCTCTTAAGGCACTTGGATGGGTCTAGATCAACCTAAACATCACTAAATTGCTTCTAACTAAAGCCACGATTGCTGTGAACAAACAAATGGGTGCAGACAGCAACTCCCTCAGGTGAGCCTTGGGGTTAGGCAGGAAATGACATGCAGTGACAGGACAAGGGGGAATGGCTTTGAGCTGAAGGAGGGTAGATTTACACTGGATATTAGGAAAAAATTCCTTATTGTAAGGGTGGTGAGGCCCTGGCACAGGTTGCCCAGAGAAGTTGTGGGTGCCCCGTTCCTGGAAGTGTTCAAGGCCAGCTCTGAACAACCTGGTCTGGTGGAAGGTGTCCCTGCCAATGGCAGGGTGGAACAGGGTGACCCTTTACGTCCCTTCCAACCCAAACCATGCTGTGATTCCTGGCAGTCCTGCCTTACCTTGCACTCCGGGCACTTCTCCTTCAGCTTCCTGGCCACACCAGTGATAGTGCCTCCTGTGCCAGACCCAATCACCACCATGTGGACCTTGCCTGCAGATCAGAGGGGAGAGAGGCTTGCAAGGACTCAGCACAGCCCCCAGCACCATCTCCCCTTTACTCAGACCCCTGTGCAGATGCAGAGCCTGTGTCCACCAGAACCCCATGTGAGGACTCACAGAATCACCAGGTTGGAAGAGAACTTCAAGATCATCAAGTCCAACCCAACCCTAACACCACAACTGGACCAGGGCACCCAGTGCCATATCCAGTCTTTTTTTAAACACATCCAGGGATGGTGACTCCACCACCTCCCTGGGAAAACCATTCCAATATTTATCACCCTTTCTGTAAAACCTTTTCCCTAATATCCAACCTATATTTCCCTTAGTGCAGCTTAAGGCTGTGTCCTCTTCTCCTGTCAGTGATTGCTTGGAGAAAGAGACCAACCCCCCACCTGACTACAGCCACCTTTCAGGGAGTTGTAGAGAATGATAGAGTTTGGACAACACCCTCACCACACAAGGTGTGACTTTTTAGGTGTCCTGTGCAGGACCAGAAGTTGGACTTAGATGATCATTGTGAGTCCTCTCCAGCTCAGGATATTCTGTGATTCTGTGGCTTTAGGGGGAAGGAATATCTCAGCACATCCATCCCTTTCAAACCACTGCATATCAAAGCAAATCACACATGTGAGTATCATTAACAGGCACAACTTTTCAGCCTGTGTTGGCATCCACAATGGAGGGAGGGCTGAGCTCTGCCCCGGCACCTGCCTCTGTCAGATGCAGCCCCACTGGCATCACTGCAATTATACAGGTTTAGGACTGGTAGGAGCAGAAGTGGAGTCTGGCCTCCAAAACCTGACGCTGCTGCTGCTGCATTGGGAAAGGGAGAGCTGCAATCCACAGCTGGCAGCCAGCTGGAGCAAATGCTACCACTGTGGTGGAGGGAAAGCTGGGACTCTTGTTTCTATTGATACCTGACTGCTTTACTGCTGTGATAACAGCTCTCCAGTTAAAATCCTCCTGTCCTGTTCACGTTTTACAGGGCTCCCAGAACCGGCAATAAACTTCACTTCTATCTGCACACACATGGACTGGGATAGCCCTTTATCATCCCCCAGCCCTCACTTCCCACGTCACTAGTTTGTGAGGTTTCGGTCTGTTTTGATTTGCAAAGGAGTGTGCTGGATCAGATGCAGCCTGCCATGCCCTGGTGGATTTATATTCCCCTGCAAGGCCACGTGGGACATCCTGTGTGCCCAGCTGGCAGGTCACAGAGGTGCTGTGGCCACCAAGAGACATGTTCCCTCTCCTTTAGGTACAGCCTAAATTTCTTAAGCCTCTGGTCTCCTCCCCCAGGTTTTTGCAATGGGAGGGGACAGCTGGGAAGCCCTGCAGGCTGAGGTGTATCTGGAGTGGATTAGGAGAGGTTGCTACACCCCGCGTGTCAGTGTTATTAAGATAATACTGCCTGCCTCTACAGAGGCCCTTTGAGCTGTTTCTAGACATGCAGGTCAATAAATGATGTAAATTAAACCTCTCAGAGAGGGTTACAGCCCTCTGCACGTAGAGGCAACAGCACAGACCTTCACACTGCTCCAGGATCTCCTCGGCCGTGGTGTCGTAATGAGCCAGGGGGTTGCTCGGATTTCGGTACTGTTTATTCCAACAGAGAACAGCAGCAGTTACCGTGTGAAGAGCAGGTCAAACACCAAACCAGCAATATCTCCTGATACAGCTGTACCCAAAACGTGCAGCTGCCCCCTCCTCTCCCTGCCAGGGGGGGAAACTGCCACCTCACCAGAGCAGGTCACAGGTATTCCTCCTGTTTGTCCCTTTGGGACAGATTTCCAAGCCCACTTGGGGTTTTTTCCACACTGGAAGGTTAAATGTGTCCACAAACACTCACTCTCCAGCACTTGGTGCCCGTTAGATGTGGGGATGGTTCAGAGGTTGGGAACTGCGGGCTGGAGAGGCTGTCCTGATCATCAGCTCTCATGCACAGAGGGGTTTTGCAGCACTGGTATCTGACCCCCACATTCACACCCATGGACCAGGCTGCTCCTGAAAAGCTCATTCAGTCTCTGAGCCTCTTTTTTCTTAGAAAGAAGGAGTCTGACTTTCCTGCACTCCAGGGGCTCCTTACTCAGGGGTCAGACCAAGTGCTCTCCTGTCCAAGACCCAGCACTGCAGGAGCCTCTGGCATGAGTCACCAGGGTTTGCCCTTTACAGAATGTGGTTTTTTTTTGAGGCAAAACAGAGGCTGCTAGCTAGGCTTAAAAAGTGGGGTTTATTCAGGTCAAAGTTAAACCTGAAGCAATTTGAGGAGTCTTTGAATTGTGCAAGAAAACCCAGCCTTGCCCACATCCGGGCTTTAGCAGAATTGTCACAGGTTTGGAAGTGTCCCTTATTTTGTTTCTGTCCCCCTGTACTTTGCAGAGGAGCGATTAAGTTTCAAATGCCATAGAACACTGACAAAATCTGCCTCTGGTGCCAGTTTGAATGAAGTCCTTAAACAAGGCACACTTGGAGAACACCTTATAAACTCTCTTGGGAAAGAGTGTCAGTGGAGGGACGGCCTTTACCTGATCCAGGATGTGAGAGTTTGGGATTTCACTTTTCAGCTTCCAGGCAACTCGGATGTTGGACTCGGGGGCATCAAAGCGGGTGCACGGCGTCCTCACGATTTCAGCACCCAGTGCCTTCAGAATATTGACCTTTGGGAGGGAAAAGAGGAGATGCAACACAGCTAATCCCACACAGGGAGGGTAACCCGAAGCTGCGGGCTCAGGGCAGTGCCAGATGCCAGAGCAGCTTTGCATGTGGGAGACATTTATCATTTGGAGATACAATGTCCAATTCTGGACTGTGCTATCTCTGACATGCTCCTAGCACCCCAGGGCCTCCTGCCTGAAGCTGGCAAATGGATTCAAGCCTGGCCTCTTGCCCTGTCCTACTTGGAGGGCAGGCTGGGGACAGGGTGGAGGGAGGTGACAGTGTGCTGCTCCTTGCTGCCTGGGGAAAAGGGCAGAGGGAGCTGGACATGGAACAGTGTCTCTCTCCTGTGTGCTGGGGCTGGAGCTCCAGCATGCAAAAGGAAGATCAGAAAGCCGGTTTTGCTCAAGGTCCCTTCTCTTCTCTCACCAAAGAATGCATAAGAAGCAAATCAGCCCTAGGATGTCTCCTCTGAGAGACGTGGCTGTCAGTGGGAGAGGGGGAGTTTTGGGACCCCTGGAGATGAAGCCCATGGCAGCTGGAGGTGGCATCTGATCCAGACTGAGCTTAAGTGAGATTTAGGTTGAAATGAGGGTGACACTTTGGAGAAGGGCTCATTCCTGAGCCGGGTCAGGGTCCAGGTCTGCTTCAGTGGCATGAGTTCAGCTGAGCTGTCTGTGAGGCTCTTGGCCCACCACTGAGGGATTTCTGTCATCTCCAGGACAGTGTGTTCACCTAATCATCAGCTCTTGTGCAAGCTGACTTGAGACACCACCTGGAGAAAGCAGCTCAGGCAGCTCTAAGTGTCTCCAGGTTAAAGAAAACCATAAACACCAGTGAGGCCAAGTGACCTGTCAGATGTCAGAGGGCAAGTGAGCAGGACTGGCAGGATAGCCCTGGCACCCGCCTGCCTCTCCTGCTGTGCTTTCACCTGCAGCAGATCCTCTGCAGCCACACACTGTGTTTGGCAATCCCACCACCCAGCTGCACTTCTGACAACACACATCCACCAGGCTGTCACAGGCTGCTTTTTTTCCCTCAAGAGGCAACTGTGTGAATAGCAGCTGTGGCAGTGGGTGTGCAAGGCTCGTTGGCCTTTGAAGGAGAGGGCTCCAGGAAGGGAGAGGCAGAGAGAGAGAGGAAGGAGATGATCCCTGGCTGTGGGGTAAAACCATACAGAGCTCTGACCTTCTCCATACTCATTTTCTCTGGCAAGACGATGATGCAGCGGTAACCCTTCAATGCAGCCACCAGTGCCAGCCCAATTCCTGCGTGGGGGGGAGCAAAGGGAATTGGTTGACAACAGCATTTGGCAACCAACGCGCGCCACTTCCTATGTTCCTGTCTCCTGAATGGAACCGTGAAACGGGCACTGACAAACCACAGGTGAGGACATCCTCCACGAGCCTCCTGGGATGTGCTGGGAGCACCAGGGAGTGTTGGAGGATGTGCTGACAGGCAAGTGGAGCTGCAGCATTGCTCCTGCTCCCAGGGGTCTACCACTGAGAGAATGGCAGGGCTGGGGAGAGCTTTTCTCCCCTCTCCGAGGCTCAGGCATCTTCCCATGGTTTTGGAAACACAGGAGAGAGGTGATTTTGCTTCAGGAGTGCCTTCCCCTCCCTCTCAAGCACTGTCAGTAGTGGGGGGACAGGCACAGAGGACACTGCACGTCACCCCGTGGCCGGCAGGCAAAGGGCACCTCTGCTCCAGTTTCACCGGGGTGATGGATGGAGCCAGCTGCTCCCAGCTAGAGCAGGAAGGTGAGGCAGCAGGAAGGAGCAGCGTGTCCCTGCCAGGGGCTGCAGGGAGCCTGGTGCCATTCCAGCTGCCCCAGGCAGGCAGGGAGCCAGCGTGATCCATGTGGGACACCGCTGGGGGAGCACAGATCCCCTCGGCTCCACCTCTGGGGCTGGCTGGGCTGACACAATGTGGTGGGGTGACAAGTCACAGCAACAAGGGCAAAAATCACAGGAATGCTCTTCCAACCCATCAGGGGAATGGTCTCTGGGAACCTCTGAGGATTTAAAAGCTTCCCAGCCTGAAAACACGCAGGGCTGCCCAAGTTGCTGCTGCTGTCTCCCCTGCCACAAAGAGACCTTCCAGGCACACCTGTGCAGGTGTGGGACCCTCACAGGACCCTCAGGAATTTCAGCAAGGAGGTACCTCAGCATCCCAGGAAGCCCATGGCCACCAGGAGGGGAGCTAAGGGGAGGATGGAGCCAACCTTGTAACTCCAAGTGCAAGAGCTCCTCAAATCCTGCTCCTCAGAATTCCACCCTGCCCAGTACCCAGGCAGAGGGAGCATCCCTGCCCTTCCCACCTGTGTTTCCTGAAGTGGGTTCAATCAGGGTGTCTCCTGGTTTGATAATCCCGGCTCTCTCTGCATCCTCCACCATCCTGAGGCTGATGCGGTCCTTCACGCTGCCCCCTGCGTTGAAGTACTCACATTTTGCCACTGGGAAGGGAAAGAGAGGGGAAACTCCATCAGGCAGCATCTCCTTGCTCCCTCCCCCAGGCCTCACTGCAGTTTTAGGACACCTATTCCTCCTCTGCAGGACTGTCCTTTTCTCAGGGGAATGCATCCACCGTCTCCTTTTCTGGGATTATCCACTAGCATAACCTGCACAGAATCCTTCTTTCCCCCACGTTTCCTTCACCCTGGATGGGTTTGAAGTCAAGCTGGTCATCCCAGGATGGGTTTAAAATCAGCTGGACATAATCATTGAAAGGAGGGGAAGTCCCACACTGGCACAGCACTCCCTGTTACTGTGCCTTGAGGACTCTTTTGTGGGCAGGGTTTAGCAGCAAGGTCTCCCTGTCTATCCTGAGGCATTGAGGTTTTTCACAGATATCTAAATAGGTCCTCTTTTCCAGGGGTGATCTGTAGTCCTGAGGTGCCATAAAAAATCCCAAACAATAGAAAGAACATTTTCAACTGTCAGACAAAATTACATTTTTTTTCACTGAGCTAACAACAAACCAAGTAACCTTCCAAGGCACGTTCAAACTGCAAGGCACATCTCAGTCCTCACTGAGGCCTCCACACCACAGGATTCTTCTTACCAAGGCTTTGATGAAAATCTGCATCTAAACTGGTGCTACTGAGCTCTGCTTTACAGACAACAGGGAGAAATGGGGATTTCCAGGGGTCATTCACATAATCCTAGCAGGGACAGCTACCTGAGGCTGAGAAATCAGCCCAATACCTGAGCAGCCTGGGTGGGTACAGAAATCTTGTGCTTATCATTACATTTTATAATGCAAAGTGCCACAACTCCAGCTGCACAAGGCAACACCAGGCAATCCCACCCAGCTGTAGCCTGCCTTGAGGCAGCTGTGCTGCAGGAATTCCTGCGTTTGCTGGGGAAGAGGCTCTGTGCTGACACCTCACTCAGACAGGAGCGTGTGGCTGCTCTGCCTGTTCTGCTCTCCTTCCCCTCCTGTGCCAGGGGAGGGAGACACCATCCCAGAAAATGGGATCAGCCCGGCTTTCCCAGCACCTAAAGCACCAGCCAGACATCCTCCAAGGGCCAGGCTGCTGCAGAGGTGCACCGGGCACTGCACATCTGTCCTCCCACCTCCAGCAGCTCCCTCCCACGGTCTCCTACCGTCCCCTCAGCTCTCACTGGGAGGCAGTGCGGTGTGGAGTTTGCAGGGTTGATGTCCCAAAGATCCCAGATCCCTGAAGGGATCTGCTGGGAAAGCCCAGCTCGCTCCATGTGCTCATGTGCTCAGTGGGGTCTGGCTGCCCTGTGGGCTCTCAGCTGCCCCACAGCACTGCAAGGTTCTGCTGTGCCATTCCATTGAGGATGAGTGCTCAGCAAGCCTCTCCTTGCTCATGTGACACTCATGGCACTTTCTGACCCTGAGAATCTGCCTTTCTGCCCAGTTTGGATGAAATCAATTAGGGTTAGGAGTTGCAGGAAAGGAGACTGAAAATGCACATGCACAGATCTGATTTTATCATATTTGTGATTGTAGGGGACCCTCACAGGAGACAGAAGCAGTGCTATGTTAACATCTCCTTCGGGAGAGGACTTAGGTCCATCCCCAGATTTAGGCCAGCTCTGCTCTGAGCTTATGCTGCTGTTATCTGGGAGGAGAGATGCTTCACTACCATTACCCCCCTGCTCATTGCTGCTTGAAACCTCCTTGTTTGGTCCAAGAAATTACTGCCTAACAAGCAGGAGAGCCCAACATGAGCCACATCTGACCCTCCCTATCTGTGCTTCCTCTCTAGGAGCCTCTCCTGAAGCCTCCCTCCAGCACCACCCCTCACCCTCACCTCATGGCATGCAAAAACCTGGTGGGAAGAGGGCACTCACAGAGCTCACACTTGAGCCCATAGGGCTTCCCAATCTTGTTAATCCGGACCATTGGGGTGCAGCCAATTTTCTTGAGGATATTGGGCAAGATCTTCTTTTCTTCTGTCCTGAAATAATGCAGGGGATAGAAAGAAAAAAAAAAGTCAAATCAAAGCTATTGTTGTGCAACATAAACCAAGAGGAAATCTGAGTGAGTGAGATTTTACCAATTTTATCCAAGGCCACCAAAAGACATCCCAGCTCCAAGAGAAAATGGGTGTGCCCCATCAGCAGCTAGTTAACCAGGAGTTAGTTACTGTTTTCCATCATGAATTATTAGCTCTTTTACATAAAAAGTAAGCTAATTAATTTTCAGTGTTGTTCTGAGAAGCCTTGCTCTGCAAGGCCTTAGGCCAGGTCTAGAGTGAACGAGAAGATGCTGGCAAGCCTTAGGATTTTATGCAATGGTTGAGAAAACCAGGAGACACAGCACAAGGCTCTTCCTCTTCCCCCCATCCTACCCAGCCCCATCTCTGCTCCCCACATTTCCAGATGCCTCTGGGCCAAGAGTTGCTGGCCAGGACTCCCAAACTTGCAAGGATGGCTCCAAGCCCTCAGAGAAGCCAAAGCCACAGAGGGTTCTGGGGGGTGTTTTGCAACGAGCTAAACCCAGCTCTGTGATCAGTGAAATCCAGCTGCCCGGATTTGCCAGTCGCTGTCAGACTCCAGCAGAAGCCAAGAACCACATCACAGCAACTGCAACCAGGATGAAAAAGACCTGTTTGCCCAACACATCTTGCCAGGGAACTCACACCCTAGAGCTTTTCCACAGACAGAAGGAGCAGATTGGGGAGGGCTGTGTTTATTTGGGCCGCATCCTATTGCCCCTGGACACAAGCCAAGCATATCTCTTTGCTAGTGGGGTGACACTGCTCACTCACGTTCCCTCACTGCTCAGCTCTGCTTTGCACAGCCCTCAGCTCCTATCATCCTTTGACCCCTGAACTGGGGCTCTCCTGTCCCTGTCAGGCTGTGTGCTGGCAGGAAGCCCGTGTGGTGCTGGAGTGACGTGCTGGCTTACTTAGAGACCTCAAACCCCTCCCTCCAGGTTTTGCAAGCATGATAGAAACACTTCCTGCAGTTCAGGACTACAGGGGTTTAGTGAAGGTCTTTACTACTCAGAGGATACAGCCTCTGCTTGCACCTCAAGCCCAGAAATGATGGGATGTGCTGCAGATATTGCAGGCTCCGTTGAGTGCTGGCAAATGTGAGGCAGTAACGCAGTGAATGAGCTTCCCCCACTGCTGCAGCCAGTGTCCATCTGCTCCAAAAGCCACTGGAATGCTCAGGGGTTTCAGTGGGGCTGAGCCATGGCATGAGGAACCTCCATCTCCTTCAGGTAACGTTTAACTAGAGCCAGGCTCTCCTGAGAGTGACCTGTGCTACTGCTTTACACATCTGGATTGCATCCTGCAGATGCTGATATCAGTTCAGCACAGTGGATAGGGATGGTTTTTCCCTAAGATTCCAGCTTTTAGTCATGGCTTGCTACTCCTTAAGATGTCCAGGGGAAAACCAGTCCTGGCAAAGCAAAGGATTCCTGCTGAGGTTATAGTGGGTCAGAATCAGCTCAAGGGATATCAGAACTCTGTATCTCTCAAAAAATTTAAATATTTAATATTCTTAAATATTATAAAATCTTTAATAATCCTAAATATTATTAAAATAACATCTTATCTCCTCCTTCTGCTTCTACCCCCAAAACTCAATCAGATTTCACTGGGGAATCTCAGCAAGTCCAGAGATTTTTTGCTGCATTGGCTACCATCTGTGGTTTACCCAGAGCAGGGAAACCAAAGCACTTCTCCCTCCATGCAGTGCTGCAAAGGTGTGGTGTGTCCCAGGGTATTTTCTCCCCTGCTACAGTGTGGGTTATGTTTCAGCTCCTGCCCCAGCAGTGCTGTGTGGGCTCCCTCAGCCAGCCTCTGTTCCCAGAGCAGTGTTTGATGCCCAGGTTTGGGAAATGTCTCTCCATCTCCTGTCTGGGGATGGGATGGGCCCAGCCACTGGCACCACCATGGCACCCTGATGCTAAATTGTTAAAAACCAAGAATGCTATCCTTCTCAGAATGATAATTGAGGGGGGAAAAAAAATTCATTTTAACTGAAAAGAGCTGATTCTATCCTCGGGCACCAGCTCCAGGGGTTGCACTGAGCGAGTGCCTGGATGAACAGCATGATGGATCAGCTCCAGGGCTCTGCATTCCACTCCTCCTTCCCTTATGGGCCAGACCCAGAGGCTGCCCTGGGCTACCCACATGCTGGTGGCTGTGCCCTGGCCTTGTTCCACCTGGCATGTGGTCAGACACGACCATGCAGAGCAGTGCTGCATCTCCCATTGGCTCCAGTTCCTCACTCGCTGCAGCTGGATTCCTGTTTTACATCTCTGCACTGCAGGGACTTGCCTGCAGTTCCCCTGACATTTATGGGACAGCCTTATCTTTAGTAGCTTGTCTGTGTCTGGTTTGCAGGGTCATTAAAGCGCCTCTTGTCAAGTCTAGTCTGGGCCCTCACGTCACCTGGGGAGGGAACCTGCTGCTGTGAGGGCAAGAAGAGCTCAGAACACTTTTCTCTGTACTGTGGCCATTTGGCACTGATCTAAAAGCCCAGGCCCTGGTAATCCATTTTTGTGGAGGTCTCTCAGCCATCTAAACTAAGATGCCCCAAACAAGCAGATGCTCTGGAAAACACAGAGCTGAAACTCGAGCCAGCCACATCTTTCTGCAAAATAAAAGGGAGTGAAAAAGGCCTTCTTGGAGAGGAGCTACTAAGCTGGTTTTGCCATCTGGAAAATAAACCATCATTAACACAACAACTGGCTTCTGGCCATGACTATCCTGGTGTAACAACAGTACTTCACCTCCAGGAAAAGGTGCTGAACTGTGCCCTGAAACAAGCAGCACGGAGGAATTACTTACAAGGGAATACAGGAGTGTGGAGACTTGCTGGCAGGCGTTGTGGCTGTCCATGTGCACTTACTGGGCAAGTTGGGGAAGGTCCATGAGCTGTCCTGAATTCCTGCACCATTGCCATTCATGAGGGGACACTTCTTACTCAGCTCCTGTGTGGTGGAAATAGAGATCACATAGGCACCTGGGAGAAAAATAGCTGCAGAAGGGGGAAAAAAATGGCATTTGGGTGTGAGGGCAGGTGGCCAGGCTGCTTGGAGCATCCTGCTGGCATTTCAGCCACATGGATCTAGGTGGATAGGAGGTTGTAGTGATGGAAGGAGGTTGGAAGGAGATGAACAGATGAAGGGATGTTGTAGCAAGGTGAGTGTCAGTCCCTTCTCCCAGGGAGCAAGTGGTGTGACAAGAGGAAGTGGACTCAAGTTTCCCCAGGGGAGATTAAACATTAGGAATTTCACAGAAAGGGTTATCAAGCATTTGAATAGAATTCCCAGAGAAGTGGTGTAGTCACTGTCCCTGGAAGTGTTCAAAACTCGTGTGGATACTTGAGAACACAGAGTGGTGGGGAACATGCTGGTGGTGGGTTCATGATTGGACCTGATGATCATAACAGTCTTTTCCAACCTGAGCAATTGCATGGTTCCATGATTCCATGACAAAATTGCACTTTTGGAGTGGTGTGCTAGACCCCATACATCACCTGGGCATCCTCTCCAATACATCTTCTTGCCCATCTCAAAACCATCACCTCCACTAGAATGTTTTATGCTCCCAATTTAATTATTTGGTCAAGAACAGATTTTTTTTTTCACTCTAGCAGTGAAGAACCTGCAGGTAAATCCATCCAGCAATAATTGGAGAATACTTCTGTGGTGATGGTGGGACTTAGAGGTCACCTCTGCTCTGGCATCCAAGTGTATTAAAATTGAGAAAAAAAACTAAAAAACCAAAAAAATCAAAAATGAAACAGCAAAGGGCAGCAAAGGTGCCCAGGGGTACTCAGCAACTCCCACAGTAAAGCAGCTTAAGAGAGAAAGATTCATCAGGCTGGAAATGAGACAAGAGGCTGCTGCTGAGAACAGGCTGTAAATCCTGAGGGAATTAGAGAAGGTGCATCAAATAATGAGCAGTAAATAATAAGGCAGAATGGAATTATGAGGAACAACTACAGGGGCAGAGCAGATAAAAAAATGGAATGAGAAAAGGGTTAAACAAGTTTGAAAAGGCTGAGTTCAGTAGCAGATTTTAAGATGGCATCAGTGCCCTGTAGAAAGGCTATTTTCCATGCTGTTCTCTCTGTATTGGTGGTGCATATACAGACAAAAGGAGGAGTCTGGGCTTAAAGTTTATTTTCAGCATCAGCTACTGTCCAATACCAGAAACAACTGTTACATTCATGTTCGGTGTGACCTCTCTGCAATCCATCCAACACTCATCTGTGCTAATGAAACAAACCACATGGAGAAAAAACACGATTTTTGGTATCTGTAAGTTCCTTTTCTGGCTTGTTCACAGAATGAATTTGCCTTGATTCAACCATTGGTGAATAAAGGGACCTCAGAACTCCGTAGGGTAGTGGAGATTTGTGTCTCACTTGTGATGGAAGCTGCTGTTAAGCTGCTTAGTCTGCCCAGTCTCCCTACACCTCTGTGGTGGTGCATTTTGCAATTACAGCAAGCCTAACCCTCTCATTACCTTTGCTGTAGCAGAAATGGTCCAAGACATGGTGTTGGACATTCCTTCTGCATTTAGCTTCAGATTGAGAACAGAGACGTCGTTTTGCCGTCTGACAGAAGCAAACCAGTGACTCAAAAGAGAAACATCCCGTTTCTAAACACAGAGAACTTGCTGCAGTAGGGCCAGACCTGCTGCCACGTGGAGGGACCTTGGGAAATCCAGTTTAGTTGGGGAGAATCATCTTTCCCCCAGGCCATAAAGCCACAGCCCTGCTCCTCCTCAGTCCCTGGGCTTCCTGCAGTAGCTGTGACTCACAGTGGCCAGCACGCTGTTGTGGCTGAGTCCTGATTATCTGAATTATTTGTGGCTTGACATTTGAGCCCAAGGGCAGCCTTAATTACCATTTCTGCCATCCTCCTCCTGCTTGCCTGCTCGTTTCACCCTCCTGGTGGGAGTTTCCTTGCAGCAGCGTGGCAGGACAGCCCCAGGTCTGTGCCGTAATTCCCTGGTGGTTTCCACGCTGGAGGATGGGGCTGGGGTTTGGTCCCTGAGGGCTGGGCTGTCCCTGGAACACAGAAACACACCACACTGTTACTCCAGCCACATCAGAGGGGTGGAACAGCCCATAGTGTATGGCTGAACCTTCTCCTTATCCAGAGGCCCCCACATCACCCTCCGAAGATGGAGGTCAACAACCTCGTGCTGTAGCCTGGCCCCACAGCTAAAGCAGACAGAGAGCTCTGGTCTACCCCCACACCAGGCCCTCAGCCACCTTTTCTTCTCCAGAGACACCACCCCCAGCCTCAGAGAGCAGCAGGAAATCATGAAGGTGCAGGGCAATCACTCCAAAATGCCTTGGATCCTGCAGCCAGTAAAAGCTTTCCCAGCAAACCTGCTGCTCTTCCCCACCACTGACAAGCCTGCCCCTCATTGGGAGGGATTAAAGGGAAAAATATGGCTCATTTCCTTTGCAAGCCAGGATTTATGTTGGCCTTGAGTGTATCTCCCAAAGCAAATCTGTGTTTACCTATTGAATTAGCTGGGAAGGAGCAAAAGTCACCTGTGGGTAAAGAAGAGATAACCTGCAATGTATCAGAGGTGATCAGCATGCTTTCACAATTGAACTCACCAGTTCAAAATGCTGGCAAAATACACTTTATGAGTATATTTTTTTTCTCCCTTTTTCTGGTGATGCCCATCTCTACTATAATTGTGGTGGGGTGGAAAGGGACAAGGCAGGAGGGTGAAATTATTGGGGCTTCAGGCCCTCACCACACAAGCCCTCTCTCCCCTCCAGCCCTGGTGCAGGAGGGCTTCATGGAAGGAAGAGCACTACTGGCTGCCACATTCTAAAATAAGGTTGCATTCTCCTCACTGTGTTCAGCTTCCCTGACATCTGACACAAAAATAAGTTAAGAATGGGGTTTTCATTTGTTCTCTCACCCAAAGTGAATACAGACATGTTTTCTAGACACCCAGGGAACAAAGAAACAAGAGCTGGCCTTTGACTAGTTGTGCATCTACATTCCTCTCTGCTGGAGAATTCCTCATGTGTCTCCTCAAGGGCTGGGTAATTCTTGGAGCTGCAGGAATGGCATGGATGTCCTCCTTGCACTTAAAAAATGCTCTCAAATCACTGCATTTCTGTGCCCAGAGTCTGGATTCGTATTTACATTAATATACATCAAAAAACCCCCACAGTGGCTCTGAAGGTAACTTTAAAAACTGCCTGACGTGTAGAACCCCCAAAAGGAGATGGTAGATGGCCTGAAACGGCACCGAAGGATGGGAAGAATCTGGGACTTTCGGAGGGTTTAACACAGCACTGGTTGAGCTGATCCCTTGCTGCCAGCCTCAGTCACATCCAGCAGCATGGGCTGGGTGGGGTGTGAGGAGAAAGGACAGTCATGAACAGCCTGGCTGCAGCCAAGGATGGCTGAGAGGAGCAATGCCCAGTGCAAACATCTCCCCTCACTGCCTGCAGTGCAGTTTTAGATCACAAAGAGAAGATACATCCTCTCTGCATTACCAGAACTCTTACCTGTGTCCCAATACTGCTCCCAGTCCCTGGCTGAAGCCTCAGGTATGATCTGGTCAGCCAGCAGATACACCTGACCCACTGCAGGTGTCCTGCCACAGCCCCGTTACTTGCTGCTGAATGGAGAATCTTGAGAGGGCACAAGACTGGGCAAAGGATAAATGGAAATCTCCACTGGAACTGGGATGCAGGCCAAGAGACCGGGAATGATAATACCCAGCTGCTGCCGCTTAATGAAAATATATGACAAGGAGCACAGGCTAATGTTTACAGAGCACTCTGCAGATAGGAGATTGCAGTTATCAGGTTATCACACTGCTCTGATAACTTCAAGGGGAAGAAAATTAAGATGTTCATTAAGTAAAGTGAGGGAAGAATTAGATGAACTCAGCAAGGCAGAAAGAGGTACATGCAAGCTCGCTCCATGAGAAGCAAAATGCCTTTTTCTTGCCTCATTCTAAAGAAATAGCATTGCTGCCATTGAGCAAGACAAATGTAACATCAGCTTAACAGAATGATGGAGTGACCCAGGCTGGAAGGGACCTCAGGAGGCCCCAGTCCAGCCTCCTGCTCAGAGCTGGGGCACCACTTCACTCAGCCCAGACTGCTCAGGGCTTTGCCCTCCTTAGATCTTGAAAGCCTCCAGGGATGGAGTTGCAGAAGCTCTCCAGAAGACCCTCTCCACCACCCCACTGACCTCGTAGTGTGAAGCCAAATCCTCCCTGCTTGCCTGATTTACTCAGGGCTTACTGAGAGCGCAGCTACTCCTCAAGTGAGGATCAGCCTTTGCACGGGATGGGGAGCAGGGGCTGCCAAATTCCAAATCTCCCCACGGCACTGAGGGTCTCCATTTCCCAGGGAGTCTGCTGGGAGGTAAGAGATGAGCCAATACTCACCCCTGCAGCCCGTCAGCCAAGTGTGTGAGCTGAGGCTCAGCCCCAGTTAATATGTGCTGGTGGCAGGGGACACCTGCGGGCTCCGGGAGGGACGCGATTGGGTCCTGCCCCACACCTCGCTGTGCCCAGCACCTGATTGCTCTGCGAGGGGAGGTGACTGGGCTAGAAAGGAAAAGATAAGCAATTTATTGTTTGTTTTAATTACATACTTATCTTCAGGAGTGCTCTGAACCCTTCCCCCAGCAATTTGGTGCTGGTTGTAGAATTTCGCTGCTGTTTTGGTTTCGTGTCCTGTGCTGGAACTTAAACCCAGCTCATCTGTGTCGACGTGGGCCTTGCTCAATCAGGCATAAGTAGTGACAGAAATGACATATTGTGTTAGGTGCTGTCTGGTGGGGACTCTTTGTGTCCTCTGGGATCCTAGGGTTAGTCTCTGCACCACCTCCAGCCCTAAACCTCTGCCTCCTTCTCGTACAACTGCTTCACTATTAAATCAGCTGAGAGCACTGAGCAGCTTCTGCTCCATGGTGATTCCCAAGTACCAGCTGGAGATCAGGAAATTACATGGATCCAGAATTTGCTTGAAGAGGAAGAGCACACGAGAATTTCAGTCCCTCTTTTCCCCAGGGTAGCGCACAGAGCTGCCTGCTCCATGCTGGGGCTGTGCTCCTCCAAAACACGGTGCTGAAGGAAACTTCACCACTGCTGACATGATCAGGCAAGAGTAAGGATTTTTCAGAATGCTTATTTTGGAATTACATCTTTGAAGACAAGACTGGTGTAGCACAGGGATGACTTTACCTTTGATCTTTTTGCAATAAATGAACTCTCTGGAAAACATTGCCAGAGGTAATCCATCACAGAAAACTCTTCTGGGCTATCTGATGTGACAGAGAACATGCAGCTCTCCTGTGAAGAGGCTGCAAATAATCCCAACCCCAGCAAGAATTGTGTTTTCTGGGCATTGCAGTTACAGAATAACCCAGCTACCCCTTCCTGGTTGTCTCCTCAGCAGTGTGTGCTCAAAAATAAGATTCATCCCTTCAGTTACCAAACAAGAAATGGGGATCTTTTCAACCTGAAAGGAAACAAGATTTAGATGGGTATTGGGGGGACAGAAGACAATTTTGAAATAAAATGCTTCCTTTAGAGACATAAAATTTTTAATTAAATACTTTCTTTTTAAAAAAGGTTTAAGTGGCAAGTTTGGGGACTTGGAAAGAAAAAAGTCCCTTTTTTGGGGGGGAATGTTTGCAGCTGTTTGCTGCGTTTGACCAGAATGCTCAGGCTGTGTTGCTGGCTGTGTTTAAACCATGATATTTTCCCACCACCACCATCCCCAGAGCTGCTGTGCACTCGGGCTCTTCAGTATCACCAGCCCAACAGTCACACACACAATTGATTTTTTTGAGGACAGCAGGTATTTTGAGATGGGTTTTCCTGCTTTGCCTGTGCCTGGGTTAAGAGCAGAGGAGGAGCTGGGCTGGGGTCTGCACTGGAATCTTTGCCATGCAGAAGGAACACACAGGAACACCAGGAACACCAGGTATTTCACAGCCTGTACACATCATAAAATCTAATTTTACCTTGCTGTTCTGCAGCGCTGGCGTTTCTAAGTTTAAAAAACACAAGACAGCACAGGGCACAGGTGCTCATTCCCCCGCAGGCTTGCACTGCCCCATCCTCTACCTGAGCAGCTGCCTTGCAGCATTTAATTTAATCATGTCCTGCAGGATTCCACTGGCTAAACATCAGCATCCTCAGGCTGGGAAGCAACAACTGGAGAGAGCAATCAGCCAGCCAAAAAAATGGGGGGAGGTGACTGAGAACACTGGGGTGCTTCTGGGCTTTCACAAGAAGGTGTGACACAAAAATCTGTGCCCGGGGAGAGGGACTCTGCTTTTAAAACACCAACAAAAAGACTCCTTGCAGAAGGAGTTTTGTAGTTTTCACCTCATCTTCCCTGTGAGGGTGGGCAGGCCCTGGCACAGCCCAGAGAATCCTGGATCCCTGGAAGTGTCCAAGGTCAGGCTGGACAGGGCCTTCATAAACCTGGGATAGTGGAAGGTGTCCCTGCCCATGGCAGGGGTGGAATGAGATGGTCTTTATGGTCTCTTCCAACCCAAACCATCCAGTGATTCTGTGACCCCTGTGGGGATGCAGCACTCAGGTTTTACTTTTGGGCACTTGGGAGGAAAGACCTCTCGTGACCACAGTCACGCCCCACCAGTGATTTTTGTGTTCCCTAGAAGGCACAACCTGGTTTTAAAATGTTCCTGATTCTGCTGTACCAAGTGGGAAGAAAAATCCATGTTTTCCCCTCCCATGTAATTTAATATTCAAAAGGCTTTATCAAAGCAGTTGAAGCTCCACATGAGGGCTTGAGAAGATGTCAGGAGAAGAGTTAGCAATGTTTTGGGAGGGCCTAGAAAATAATTCAGGGCAAAACAGGCTTTCCTTCATTCTTGGCTTATTTTTGGCCAGCAGAGAAAAAAAAATCTTGCTGTGAGGGCATGAGGTTAAAAGTGCTTCTGGTTGAGCTGAATTGGCCTGTGAGTTGAAGTACTGCTGATGGTACCTGCTATCTGAATAATGTGGGTAAACTGGGGAAAAGGGAGGCTCTCACTTGCTGTTAAAAATATTTATTTTTTTACCTGTTCAACGCACTTGGTGTAGAAGAGTTACTGCAGAACAAAATGATGCCAGCTGAAACATAATTCCAGCTGCCTCAAGCCAAGGCAGGAATAGGTTAGAAAAGTTACATTTTTGTTACTGCGTTGGAGCAGCCCTTCATACCCATCTGTTTCAGGAGAGCTCACCATTCGCTTGTAGTGGTGCCTTAGGATTTTAGCTTTTTTATTTTTCATGTATTTGTAATCCTGAAATTCTTTAGTGTATAACTTTAAACTCCACATCGAGTGTTAGCTGCTGCTTTCCCATTTTGGTCAGACAACACAATTCCTCTCCAGGCCTGGGAATCAAGGACACCTCACTGCCTCAGGGCCTGAGAAGTGTGAACAAAAGTGAGTTGGGGGGAGCAAACTTGGGGTAAATGACTTCATTACCTGCAGCTGGAATTGGAAGATTCACCCCCAAAATGGACCAAACTTACAAAAGTGTGAAAACCCATGACCCATCGTCCAGTTTTGGGTGCAGCCCCTGGGAAAATTTGTCTGCCCTAAATGTACCTGAAGGCCCTTCAATAAATAGAACTGTTCTTTACCTCGATTTTGTCTGGTGTCTGTTTTTAGGTAGCCCCAGAAAGGCTTCAGCACAACCCACGGAGTATTCAGCACGTCTGAGGAGCTTCCTTTGGTCTGGGGGCTGTGGGGAGAGCCACGCTCCAGAGATATCCTGGGAGGAGCAGGCCTGCAGGCCTGCAAGGAGCACAAGGCATGAGCAGCTCCGAGCACAGCGTCTTTCCCACCCTTCACAGGTCACACCTGCTCTGCTTGTCCCACGGGCCACACCAGCTCCTTCCTGCTGGCTCCAGGAGGGTCTCGCTGTGGATCAGGACATTGCCAGCTCTCCAGCTTCCCCAGGGACAGGCAGTGGCTGTGACAGGGAATACAGGGCCAGGTGGTGCCCACGGGCCCCTTGCCCTGTTTTTTTGGGCACACAAACCCAGCTGCCTGCCACTGGAGGAGGCAGTGACCTCCCCAAGCCTGGGATTTGGCAGGTGTGAGAGAAGTTGTCTCCTGAAAGAGCAGTGAGACCTGCAGGGTAAACAGCACTTGGCTTTTCCTCTAAATAGAGGTGGATTTTTCCATGGGACAGGGTGGTGGCAGGTGAGCTGGCTGCTCTTAGTGCCCTCCACGAGTCAGGTCCTGTGGGCTCTGCCCTCACCCACCATCCTCCAGCACGTGACAAAAGGTAGCAGCACTTCCATCAGCAACACGAGTGTGAGTTGGTGGTTGTGCTTTTTTTTCTTTTTTTTTTTTTTTTCTCCCTCAAGGGAATTTATTGCTTTCATAAGGCAGCTTCCTGGACTGAAGTCCTCCCTTTATCTGCAGAGCCAGCACAGCTGATTGTACCCAGTAATTTTCCTGCTGGTGATGAGGAGGGGCAGTTCCTCAGCTGGGGACAGCTGGGTCCCAGGGCTGTCATTAGGCTGTGACTCATTTGTCAGAAGGTCTTGCAAAAATGGGGTTTGGGCAGCACCCTGCTCTACGCTCCAGCCTGGGGGCTGCTGCTAACGAGGTGCTGAGGAGCCCTGATCCCTCAATAGCTGCCCTGGCTGAAAGCTGAGGCCTGGTTTAGGGCCTGAGGTACCTCACCAGGGTATTTCTTAACCTGTCCAGCTCCGTGCTCAGCCTGCTGGAAGGTGGAACTTGATCCCTCACACTTCCTGCAGCTCTCTGTGCTTGGGCAGCCTTTGGCCTTTTGCTGGAACATTGGACATGACAACATGAAAATAAACCTCTCCGTGCACAGGGGTGATGCTGGCCTTCTGCCCCTCAGGCTGTGGCATCAGGATCCCCCTTTCCCCCTTCGAGGAGGCTGCCAAAAGGGATGGGGAAGGCAGGGGTCTGCACTTGCTGCCAGCCACAGCAGCATTTCAGGTGTCACACAAGAAGGATGTGCAAGATGAAGTCAGCCCACGCTGCTGGATTGGGAGAAGGAGGTGAAGCTGAGGACAGAGCACTGTGTGTGTGGGGAGCAGCATGAACAGCAGCATGAGGGCAAGGAGCTCGTGCTGGCAGGACTGGCCTCGCTCTGGAGACACAGAAACACTCACACTGACAGCCAGGGGTCTTCTGCACTGATTTCTTACAGTCTAACACGCTTACAAGCTTGAGCTGGAATTAAAAAAACAACCCTGAGTCGTTCCACAATCAAACAGCTTTTATTGAACTCTTTGTGTTGTACATTCATGAATATCTGTGCAATAAATACAGCTCATAGTGTTGATTTTTCCCAGCTCCTTGAAGCATAAGAAATCTTTCCTTTCCCTTAGTTGACACTACACAGTAAGAAAAGCTGTTGGATAACAGGGACAATGTCAGGAAACTTCAGACAGTGAGCCTTGAGTGAGATTTATAACAGCAAGCAAAAGTTTTCAGAAATGAGCTTGGTGGGCAGATGAGGCTGGTCTGGCTGCTTTGAGGAGCTAAACTGCTAGCCAGAGTTCTGGAGTCAGCCACAGCTTGTACAAGAAATGGGAAATAACATTAGACATGACAACGTGAAAATAAACCTTAAGTCACTGTCTGGTAACTGCTTGCAAAATATTGTACCGATTTTACTGAATAGCTGTCTTCAGGTGAGAAAATAAAAAGTATTTTTGCACAGCCAACATTAGGACCTATAATCTCTTACAGTGACAAGCAAATACAGCATAAATTGTTGATAAAAATATCCATGTGCAAAATAGTTTTCAGGTTTAGTCAGCGCTTGCATAAGCAGCAAAGGTAAACAGAAGATGCAGGCACTCACTTCAGAAAAAAAAAAATACAGTTCTGTTCAGGCTCTGGCCTTCAGCTTCAGGTAGAAGACCGAACAAACTGCAGTGTCTTTCTTGGCTTTCAGAGCATTTGAAACAAAGATAAGCCCAGTTTTAATCAGTCCTATCACAACTAACCAGGACCAGGCCAGCAATGAGGTTCTCAGACATGCAAAAAGGCATCACATTTACAAGCTTTTGCATAGGAATTTCAGCCCTGCTGGATTCCCTGTCCCCCTCTCTTTGCTGCCTCCATCCCTGCCATGGGAAAGAGCTCTGGAAAGTTCTTCAGTTGTGCAGCAACTCCATTTATTTACCCTATTCCATGGTCTCACCAAGTTTCTGCCCTGAATATGAAAGACTTTTTTCTCCCTGAGCCAGTGCAGAACTGGAGACAGCTCCTGCTCTTAGCAAACCCCAGGGGAGCAGGTGAATTCCTTCAGATCCTTTGGCTTACTTGGAATGCTTTAGACTCCCATCCCATGTTCCCCACCATTTCTAACCACCTCCAATGTCTCAGTCCACAATACTGCCAGTTTTCATGGCACTACAGGGATTAATGCATGGGCAGTGAACTAAAAAAACAAATTCAAATCTTTACACTTCTTTATAACTGATTAATTTGCTGTCCCACCTTTAACTCCTCTCTGAAAAGCAGCTTTGAGAACCTCCTTCTACCATTTTTGTATTTCTTGCTGAATTCAGTTAGGTCATGACATGGAGTTTTTACAAGGGAAAAGGACAAACCTTAGCTACTCAAGCACCGCGAATGTCAGATGGAAAATGGGGAAAAGAAAATCAGATAAGAGCCAGTAAAGTAAATATTCAAAATAATGCCAAAATCTAGCGGCAGTGACATCTACAATGTTACTTTTCAGAAAGAAATTGATCACCCTTTAGAACCCTTTCAACTACTATTGAAGTTGCACATGTATAGATTGATAGTTTTTTTCCAGAGTCTTGGGAAAAGTTATCTTAAATCTTAAAGAAGTGTATGAGTTTAATGGCAAACCACAGTTTAAGGCAAGGATGGGCTCATTTTCCTTCAGCAATAGCCCTAATCTGAAGGGGTAGCCAGTGCAGGGCTTTTCTCCTAGAATAAGGCACTACAGGGTAGAAGTACCTGAACAAGACTTGGAAGAGTTCACAGCTCTTGACAGATTATCTTTGGCTCTTCTTTGGCACAAAAAAGGCACACTGAGATAAATAAAAGGATGGGGAGGGAAGAGGAAGGCAAGAGATGAAACAGCATGATTTGAAAAAACCTTCAGGCAAGACGCTTGATCTCACCTTTTAAATCTTTCCACTTGTGCTTACTTATCAGGATACCACTGGAAAAAGAATAGGTCTGTCATGGTGGGGAAGCTGATGCACTGTGTAAAACAGTGTCACTGGTTCATGTTTGTCACTTCACTGCCATGCTTCTACTCAGACCAGCTTTTCCTCAGAGCAGATGGTTGGAGCAAGTCTCAGCTTCGGACCTGAGGATTTTCTCTTGTTTTACAATGATTCTACCAAAAGAAAAACCCTCCTTTCTTCTCCCTATGCCCCCCCAGTCCCAATTTTGTCTCCACACAGGTAATACCTAACTTAACACCCTTGAATGGGTGGGAAAATAAAAATTCCAGAACTTTCCAGAGCTCTCTTGGGCCTCTGCTTCAGTAACTCTTTATTTCAACACATTTTATGATTCTGAAACAACATTTTGGAAAGCCAGCCTTTAGACATAACAAGTAAGGAACAAACCAGTTAATTTAGGCAATATTTTTTACACACATATATATATATATATAGGTAAAAAAATAAATTGTCTTGATAAGAAATATTGCTTAACCTGATTAAGAAACAAGTCCCAGAATCTGGGCAATACAGCAAGACACATTGGCTGGATAGCTGACACCAGGCTAGCTAACTGCTTCTCTTCAGAATTAAAAAACAAACAAAAAACAACCCAACAAAAAAAAAAAAAAAAAGAAAAAACCCATTCTACTTAAGACATAAACCTGATTCTTTGTTTGAGATTGCAGAATATTGAAGAGGCTCCACGTTGCTGCTTGGCTTTAGTTGGATTTCCTCTCCCGCTCCCGTGCGGTCACAAAGTTCAGGAGGTCGATGGCTGTCACGATGCCAAACACCATCTGCCTCTTGCTGGAGGAGCCATTCATGTGATCTGCACAGAGAAAAAAGGGAGTTCTGGTTCCAGGAGGCACAAACACAGCCCCTCCTGCTTGGTTTTAGTAGCAGTGTTTGTAAGGTCGGGGGCTGAGCCATCCCAGTGCCACAAGCCCGGAGCTGTGGAGGGGGAACACAAAAAGCACCTTGGGCAAGAGTCACAGAGCAAGTGACAAGGATTTTCAGCTCAAAAAAGCTCCTCATCAAAATGGATACTGAAACTTTATGGAAAGAAGAATAAGGATGCACTGGATTTCTTTGTCTTGAAACAAAAACTCAAACCAGGCCCTCTTGTTATAATTGTATTTTCCTCAAACATTAATTACTTGAAACAGCTGCAAGTGGCATTACCCCATTGGAACCAGGGGGCACCTGAATGGCCCAATGGAACCACATTTTGAGGAGGAAATGTGACACCACCATCTTCCTTGCATCCCTGTCAAATACAGAATCAGTATAAAAACCACAATACCCCACTCATATCCAAAAAACTTACTAACCATACCACCTTTGCTGCATTGAGAGCACAGGTTCAAGTGATTTTCTCATTGATTCTTAGTGAGCCTAAGCCTTTACCTCAGAACCAAGTGGCCACATGACCTCTGGCCCTTTATCAATTGTCTAAATTCCAGTTCCTAAAGCCTCTCTGTACTGAGAGGTTTAGTCTAATTCTATACTGTCCTGGGCTTTTTGTTTACTCAATCTCAGTTTCACTGCAAGCTTCCAGTGAGATTCCAGGTTTATAAATAGTCAGCTCAGAGCCAAGAGCACATCCTTATGGAGATTATCAGGAACAGCCCCAAATTTGATGGCTCTTCTTCTTCCAGTTATAATTGAGAACCTAAAGATAAATTTATCTGACATGATTTATTCTGACTCTCGTTTCTCAGTGTTTGTGACTTTGCAAAGTTGTCTGCTATTAGAAAGATTAAACAGGACAAAATATTATTCACATATTAGAGTGCTATACCCCAGATTTGAAGATTTATTTAGTCTTACTAATCCTAGAATGGTTTGGGAAGGAAGGGACCTTAAAATCATCTTGTTCCACCCCTGCCACAGGCAGGGACACCTTCCACTAGACCAGGTTGCTCCAAAGCCCTGTCCAGCCTGGCCTTGAGCACTTCCAGGGATGGAAATTTGGCTTAGCAGCACGAAGTTAGACACAGAATGAAGATTTTTCTTCTTCAGAGCTCACTTTACACATTCACACTTGCACTTGCTTCTTGTTGCCACTCACAGATTTGCTCTCACAAGGTGCAAGACTTCATACTCACATTGAATTTGCTCATGAACCACCAGAGCGAAGTGGTCTATTTCCAGGATGTGAGAGAGTTTCCCCAAGTTGTCTCTCAGGTTAATCTGAGGAGAGAGTTACAAAACTTGAATAAAACAATCTTTTCTATGTTTAGTAATTAATAATCCCCATAAGCTTCATACAGAACTAAAATCAGTACATCAGCATTTGTGTAATGCTCCCACCTGAGGCATGAGAAAACACCAGCAAATCAAGGCCAACTTAAAAGATCAGTTTTCTTTGTTTCTAATTTCCAAAAAAAAAAAGCATTACATAAAGTTATTCCTTCTGATTCTGTAAACATAGTGAATGTAATGAAGATCTGAAAAAAGAAGTTACCATAAAAGCCTTTATATTTGGTGATTTTATTCTAAAAAGACTGCAAAATTGAACAAATCAGACTGCAAATCATTGTGAAGTGAATATGATCTTCAAAGGCAGAAAAGCCCAAACAAGCCAAAAAAACTAAAAAACAAGGGTGAAAGATTGCTCAGCTAACACTGGATTTGGGGGCAAATCAAGGAACTGAGATTTAATAATTAATTTTTTTGTGAAATTTGACTTCACTAAGACTGAACAAGAAACCATCCTGTTTCAGCTCTGAAAAAACACAAATATTTGCAAAACACTTCAGCAATCACTTGCTGCAATCATTTTTTAAAATGCCTAAAATTGTTCAAACATGAGTTGAGAGATGAAGCAGCAGCCACAGCTCCATTAACCAGGTGACTTTCCCCAGCACCCACAATGTGACATACTTTTAATGAATGAATTCACAGCAGAGTTTTGCACTGCAGATTCAAAAAGCCTCTCAGTAAGAAATAAATGCCCACAGCATGAACAGTTGGGCTGCACTAGAACATTGAGCTCTGTCTCCCTGCTGGGTGTCAAGAGCATTCCCAGCAGCCTGTGTATCCAGACTGAGGAACCAATCCTTAAATTTGTGGGCCAGAAAAGGAAGGAGGTGCCACATGGAGTCACCCATCAGTCCCAAATCTGTCTTCAGGGACTGGGCAGGCTACAGACAACCAGGACAAGCAGCACTGAGACAAGCATGGAGGCACAAACCTGCCTAGAGATGCTCAGTGGGAATTTAACAGAGCCCCCACAGAGTTTTCACCAGTCTCACTACTGCTTGTTCAAGCTTCTTAAAACACTTTGCCCATGGGTTTTCCCACATTTAGGCTTTGTTTTTAAGCCTACTAGGTCTTGAGGCAGTGAGTACTACACTACACATGACTGGGAACCCAAACCACTGGAACCAACATCTGACTCCACAAGGATGGCTACCCCCTCCACTGGCACTTGTTTGGGTTGGAAAATTATCCTGTGACTGGTGTTTCAAATCCCCAGAGCACAATTTTACCAGGGACTTTGAAAAAAGCTCTCATCATTCTGCTTCCATTCTAAGAGATTATCATAAAATAATTGTGGAGATCCCACCAAAGCAGGCTGCCCATGTTATAAAATCACAGGATGGTTTGGGGTGGAAGGGACCTTAAGGATCATCCAGTTCCAACCCCCTACCATGGGCAGGGACACCTCCCACTATCTCAAGTTGCTCAGAGCCTCATTCAGCCTGGCCTTGGATGCTTCCATACATGAGAAATCCACAATCTCTCTGAGCAATGTAAAAAAGCCAAAAGATCCATCTTTTCAAAATGCACCTTTGCCCTGGTTTACAGGCCAAGCCTCTTCCTTAATGTATGCTATGGTATCCCATGTAGGATACCAGAAGTTATTTTGGTGCCACAGTTGATTCATTTTACCAATTTCACTCATAAACATGCCAAATCAGCTTGTCTAAAGTGGTAAGAGAAGCAAAAGCCACAATATTTCTGAGATCTTGTGAATTCCACTATGTTTCTCCATTAACCCATCAATTCAAATGGAAAATAACCATTTTTAGTTAACAGTCAGCAGTACCACTTGTTTCACTTCAGCTTGTGTCACTTCCCTTCAGCCTCCACCAAGAAAATATCAGAAATAAAGAGAAAATAAATGGTTTAAGCTGTTCTTTACTGAAGAAGCCTTTAAGCTGCCCATGGCAGGAGCCACCTCAGAAGTGCAGAGAATTGGCTGATGCAGCCAACACCAGAGCAGCCACAGAAACCATCACACAGCACCAGCCCCAGAACCTCTCAAGGTGTCCAGGTGAGGGAGAACAGGAGCTAAGCAGTTGTGTTACGCACCACATTTCCCCATGATGCTGGATTATCTGTCTGGGGAAGAAAAAATAAATTTACATTTGTCCATAAAGAACCAGCACCCTTGAGTGGCTCACAGGTTGAACAGGAGCATTAAATACACTTCCAGAACACAGCACTTAATCCACTTTGGGACAGTGCTGGAACTTAAATCCTGGTGAAAACTAAGCCAAGCATTCCATGTTTTTGAAAGAAAATTCTGTGCTCAATAACAGCTGCTGGCATGGTCCCAGATAAACCTCACCCAGGTGTTAGCACACCTTCTCTAGTACTTGCAGAATATACCTGCCTACCTGTTGAAATTGCTTGTAGATTACTTTTCTGACTTCATCAGAAGGCTTAACTTTTCCAACAAGCAGTGAGGAAAGCATGTTACCCAGGGTAACCATGCCCAGGATCACCCTGGGGAAGGAGAGACAAGATAGGGATAAACAACACAAAAGACTCAGGTGTTCCTGTAGAAAAAAGCCTCCACTCCAGCCAGCCTGGAGGAGTCAGTTCAGCTATTTCATGGTAATAATGCAGCATTATTGATGGTATTCTTGGATTCTGTGTGTCTGCAGGAGACAGAGTACAATTCTCAGAGGTTCTGGAGACTCACACACAGGGCAGCAGGTTCTGCAGGGGCTTCTGAGCACCAGGACATTTTCATGTCCTTGCAACTGGAGAGAGCCACCTGCAATCTCAGAGAGCTTTTGGAAAGCACAGACTGCTTCATTTTTTCACACTCCCATCTGTCCTTTTGAAAGGTGTGACAGCCAGAGACAAGCTCACCCCAGTTTGGCTCATTTCCCTTCTCCCTGTGAGGATCTACAATTCATCCCTCGGTCAGCACCACTCTGCAACTCTTCAATATTCAGCCTGACTGCAGGAGACCTGCAGGGTGACAAGGCACATTCCAGCTTCCTGGGGACACCCTGGTTTATTGGGGTCACTGCAGCACTGCACTACAACACAGGGTGCTGAAGAAGCTCTGTGAAAGCTCTGATAGAGGTGGGCATGTTTGGGTTGGCTGTTTTAAATAGGAATTTTTTTCTTTTTTAAGTTAAACTGGTATTATTAAAAGAAATTAAATTATCCTGCAGAGACACAATGAGTAAGTATGTCACATTAATCATTAGAAACATGTGAAGGACGTGACAATCCTGGCATGAAAACACAAAGTCCAGCATTGGTGTGTTCAAGGCAACATTTCTGAGCTGTGTTAATAAATTAAAAAGGATGAGTGAGAAGACATTGCATTTCCAGCAAGACATTTAAAAGACATCCCTGAGGACCTGCTGAGGGAAGTGATGCATATGGATGAAGAGTGATATATATGGACATACCCAGATTCATCAACAACTGGTACCTGGTCGAATCCCTTCTCCCGGAGAATTTCCACGGTCTTTGCACAGGTAACAGTTGGAAGCACAGTCAGGGGGGCAGAGAGCCTCAGTTCCTGAACACTGATGTTCCACCACCTGGGGATGGAAAGAGAAACAAACCCATGCAAGTCTGATGGAGCACACAGAACCAGTTCTTCATGCACAGTGGGCTCCAGCACCACAGGAATGACAAAAGGCTCCAAGGAAGAGTCAGGATTCAGCCAGAGTCAATAAAGCTTCAGCGCCCTCAGGTGTTATTCCCAATATCAGAAAGTCACTGAAGTGTGAGAAGGTTTGAAAATCAAAACCCTTTTCCTCATTTCATCTGCTTTCTATGGTTACAGATAGTCAATGGAGAGCACTAATCTCCCCAATTTCATTATTTATCTCTCACAGAGAAAATTTTGTGCTCCTACTCAAAGACCCATCTGTATTTACAGTCATAATAGACAACAATTTGGGAAAGATTCCCTTCTACCTATGTAGACTTGCAGTGTTTTGCACTCATGAACTCCGATTTTGGAAGGATTCTTTGCATATTTCCTTCTTTTTTTTAAATTCCAGACATAATGCTTTTCATTTAAAAAAACAGTCATTAAATACCATATTTTCTTCTGCTGCCATACAACTCAAGGAAGGATGTCAATTAAAGTTAATTGTTAATTAAAGCAGATTTGATTAACAGCTGCAATTATACATCAAGACAATAGCATGGAAGATCAGCTAAATCAAAGGAGAAGTGTAAATTGAAATGAAAATAATTTAAATTGCTTTAAATTAGCAATTGCCATAAACTCGATTGAATAGACCCATGGAAATCCAAATGGATCTGATTGGCTTACCAAGGTTTGTTGCCAAAGTCTTCTTCTTTCATGAACCCTTTCTGAATCATCCATTTGTCACTCAAGAACTTGGACCTGCAGAGCACCAGGAAGTGAAAAGCTCATTTGAACATCTGGCAGCAAACAGAGGCAACTGTTCACAGCTCACTGTCACCAACAGTGTGATTGGAAATAGATCATCATCTGCCATCCAAGCTTAGCAGTCAGGGACATAGAGAAGAAATACTCATGGGAAGAAAAAGGAATCCCATAGGAAGCAAAATTCCAACTGCATCAGCCCCTTGGAATACGATAGAGGCACAGCCTGGAATGAAGATGTGTCTGTCTGCAGCTTCTGTTTGTCTAATACTGAGATGGATGCAGGAGAAGTCAGGAAATTCACATAAAAATACCATGTTTTGGTGTGTGTTTCAGTGTGGTTGGAGAAAAACTTCTCAGCACAGCTCAAAGCCCTGGCACTTCCACCTGCAAACTCCCCCTGATGTGGCTGCTGCTGCTGCAGGACTGCTGGATCCTGCTGTGGGCACAGGAACCCTCCCAGGAATGGGATAACCAGTGATCTCCCACAAATAACACAGTGAATGCAAGGCCTTTGTTGTGAAAAGTGCTAACCAGTGATGATTATTTACTGAAATCAGAGCTCAGCTTCAAAAGGGGAAAGATCCTCCCTGCTCCATGTCAGACCCCTTTGAGGCAGCTCAGAACCTGTGCCCCAAAGACACTCCTTGCTGGGATAAGTGGGTGTTACAGGGTCTGAGGGACTCCCTCACCCCTCTCCAGAGGGAAAACCTGCAGGTCCTTACATGTAGTTCCTGATGGAGTCAGGGCAGATGACAACGCAGCGCTGACCCTCCTTCAGCTCCTTGGCTGCCTTCACAGCCACAGACATGGCACTGCCCGAGCTGCCACCTGCCAGGACACACAGCAGGGCCAAAACAGTCAAACCACGAAATGAAGGCCATCAAAAGAGAGGAGGAGAAAAAGCAGAGGAGCCCAGAGCGAGGAGGATAAGCTCTGAAGTGGAAGGAGGTCTCTGATCTGCACGAGGCTTCGGCCTCCCACAGACTCCTCGGAGAAAGGCAGAGGATTCCCGCCTGCTCTTACCACACAGCAGCCCCTCCTCGCGGATCATCATCCGTGCTAAGGCAAATGACTCCTCATCATTGCTCTTGTACCACTGGTCCACTACCTGGGGAGGGGCAGGAGACAGAAACAAGGCTCTGTTTAAATGAGGAGGGACAGGGGAACTACACAACCAGTGTGAATTCAGCCCCGGCTCTTGGAGGGAACAGCTTCCCTGCTGAGCCCGGGGTTTCCATCCTCCTCCAAATGCCAAGTGGGGTTTTTTGCCAAGGTAAGATGATCACATCAGCACAAAAGGCTCCTTATTGGAACCTTCCTGTGAGAGTAGGCTGCTGTGAGTGAGCCTCAGACAGCATCAGCTTCCTCCCCTCTTGGAAGGCTTCCTAGAGACACAGGCTCTGCTCAGGACAGTCTTAACCACTTTGTCCAGGAGGGGCTGGGATGCTCTGCTGGAAGGTTTTGTTTTGTAGTTTTGTGGGTTTTTTGTGATTGGTAAGTTGGTGTTCTTTGTTGTGTGTCTGTTTTTATTGTGTGTGTTTCATGATTGGCTTTTTGGGTGTGTTTTGGGATTTTTTTAAGCACAAAAATAAATGTGCTTTAAAAATTATATCTACTTGCAGCATTTTGACCTGGCATTGTAAAACTAATGTGGCCAGTTCAGAAGCCTTTCAAGGGCTGTTTATGCTGATGGAAAGAACAGGAATAGTTCTGTCTGCTACCCCTTCCATTTCAGCTTGAAGAAGTACTTCCCTGAATTTTTCCTCTGTCTTTAACCTCAGTCCTGCATCCCAGCAGAGGACAAGGGGCAGCAAAACAAGCAGCATGACTTACAGATCTATCCAACACCGTGGGGACAAAATCATATCCAATTCCTTCCACTTCATACATTGTCTTGTCAGTCTTGTTCAGTTCTTCTGGTTCAGCAAGGATGGAGCCTTCAGGATCCACACCTATAATCTGGAGAAGCAGTTTCCACTCAGGCCACCAAGACACACAGCTTTGGAGAGCACAGCCCCTGTGAGCCCTGGCCTCGTCACAGCTGCTGGTGGCACACAGCCAACCTGCTCTCCTGCTCATTTCCTCCTGGCAGCATTCACCTCCCCTGGGTGCAAAATGCTCTGCTGCTTCTGGCCCCCTTGGAAACCCATCCCACCTCCTCAGGCTCTGGACACTGATGGCACCACTTGTTCTACACAGGTTTTGCTTGGTTTAAACAGAAAGCAGGGTTTCTCTGACAAGGCTGCCCTCATTCACATCATGCCAGGCATCATTACAGACAACTCATTTTGTGCCAAGTGCAGGCAGATCCATTTTGTTTTCTTTACCACTTCCTGCTTGTGTAGGAAAATTCTCGTGCTTGAAGCAGGATTCCAAGTTCTGTGAGGAAATCTAACACATCACACAGTAAAACACACAAGTTGGTGTGTGCAGAAACAATCCCACTGGGCAAAACCTCAGCAGCTCCAGAGCAGCTGGGGTAGGCACAGCCAGGGAGGAAACTCAAGTCTGCAGAGCACACACCAGAGAGGGAAGTCTCCAAAGCACCCCATTGAGGGATCTGAGGGTCAGTGGTCATCTGCTGAGCCAAACCTCAACTCTGGTCACCAGTGGGACCCAGAGCACAATGATTTCAGACACTCTGATGCAGCCAGAACTACCTTTTTACTGAGAACACCCAGAAGCTTCCCAAAGAGACCCAGGGCAGGCTTGCAAGGAGTGGGACGTGCCAGGGGGAGCAGCTTGAGGAGACACTAGAGAGAGAAGCAGTGGGCTTGTCACTTACTTTGCACCCTGGACACTTCTCCTTCAGCTTCCTGGAGATGCCAGTGATGGTACCTCCTGTGCCAGCCGTGGCCACCACCATGTCCACCTTTCCTGTTTAAGGGTGTGGGAGAGAAGTGTGAAATCTCCAACAGAATTATGGATTGAAAGCTCACTTATACCTAAGGATGGACTTTCTTCAAAAAAAATGCACAAAGTGGCTGAAAAGGGCTCTTTGTTTCCCAGGGGCTGTTGTGAGACCTGCCTTGAAACTGCATTGCTCAATCATCATTTTCTCCCACAAGGGTTTTGGAATGTCCACCCAAAGGCCTGGCAAGGCAGCAATCTGTGGCACTTTGGACACAGCTGGAGGTGGCCCACAGAGCTGACAGCTGCAGTTTTCCTGTTACTGTATTTGCTGATACAGATAATTCATTCTCTAAGTTAAACTGAGCAGCCCATTATGTTTGTTAATTAACTGAGTGAGTGCCAAGAGCATGGGGTAGGCATCCCTGGAGAGAAATGTTAACACAACTACTCCCTCATTTTCATATCAAAAAGACAGTTTTGGTCACTAGCACTCAGAGTGACTGTGGATATGATAGTTCATCCCTGTGTCACCACCTGCAGCTTCTCTGGTGCATCCACATGACAGCTTTGTTAATTAAAAAAAAAAATAAATGGATTTTTAAAAGATCACCAATTCACTCACAAAATCAATTGCTTAGCAGACAAAAGAATAACACCCTACCAAGCAGGGGTAACTGAACAGTGCCTGGGCTGTAAGGAGAAGTAAATAGAAACAAGAAGCCTAAATCTGGAACTCATCTGGACCCTCAGTTTGTGGGATGTCAGCTTGTAAAAGTGTACTGACTTTAACTCAAAGTTTGTCACAGAAAGACAAGCCAAATCCTCTCAACAGCTTGAGTTTTAGGAGAGAGGAGAACCTTTCACATGGTCTTTGCAGACCATAATTTAATGTGAATTAATTTAATTGCTGATTTTCTTATCAGAGGGCCCAATCAGAAACTGTTTAATAAGGCAGGTCTGGATCCTTCTGTATGACCCCCTTCTGTCCCCTGTGGAAAAGCCCACGTGGCTGCAGCATCACAACATCCAACAGCTCTCAAAACAGCTCCAGAGCTGAGGAATGAGCCCAGCTGAAGCTCTGCTGCCACAGCTCAGCCCCTTCTGGTGCTCAGCTGCTCAGAGCCAACACTGAGAGAGCCCTGCAGAGCCAGAGGGTCCTGCTGGTGACAGCTGAGACACAGAGCACTTTGTGCTCCTGAGGACTGCTAAGTGAAGATGCTTCCAGCACTAGGAATCCAGGAGTGTTTGCTCTGGGAATGTTACAACACCTATTTCTGGTTTTGTGATCAAAGAATGACCCTATTCCATACCAGTCTACCCGTGGAGTTTTTTTTTAAGGTAACTTAAACACCACTGCTTTCTCCACCTGCTCACAGGCAGAGAAGTCTAAAAACCAAAGAATTCCTCTTTAAGGGAAAAAAAGAATCATCATTACTGTGACTACTGAAATAAGGTAACTCTCTAACGACACACAGCATATGTATGGGGTTTGCTTCATAAAAATCCATGCTTTTCTCACCTGAGGTCTCATTCTCCAAGTACACAACAACAGGGCACTACCAGGGGCTCTCTGAAGGGGTGTAGCAGGAGAGCAGACCTACCATCACACTGCTGCAGGATCTCCTCAGCTGTGGTGTCGTAGTGCGTCAGGGGGTTGCTGGCATTGCGGTACTAAATTGAAAGACAGATCAGCCACAAAATAGATCAGAAACACGAAAGTCACATTTTGAGAGAGTTCAAAACCATTTTGAACAATCCCCAGGCCTCACAACACCTAAACATACTCTCTGCAGAATGTTGCATTGTGTGTTATCTGGAACTAGGCCTCCTAAGTGACCTAATTTAAGTGCAGTCCTAAAGTGCCAGCACCCTCCCATGCCAAAATTAGTCCTGTCAGTGGGACAGCACTCTTAGCAGCATGAGCTCTGTTTCCATTCTTCTTCATAGGCTTGCCAACTCAGTGGAAATACACTAAGTGTTGTAGTTCTGACAAACACCAGCTCATTGCTGCTCTCTAGTGACTGTAATAATTTCCTTTCCTACAATGTGGTGACTGCTCAGCTCCAGCTCCAGATTTGGGGCATCTTCTCCTCCAGAGACACATGGAAAGTGTTGAACAGACAACCCAGAACACCACAGAGCCTCCTCCATGCCACACGTGCACCTCTGACACCTTGGCTCTTACCTGGTCCAGGATGTGTGCATTGGGGATTTCATTCTTCAATCTCCAGGCCACCCCCACGTGAGATTCAGGAGAATCAAATCTGGCTGTAGTTGGGGTCCTCACAATCTCAGCACCCAGAGCTCTCAGGACATCCACCTGCACCAAATAAAGGTGGTCACAAAACCCCAAAACACCCTCAACAGGCTCCCTTCACACTCAGCCCCAAGGCCAGAATATTTGCAGACTATTCAAAGCTTCAGCACCATCTTCCTTCACCCTCTGCTCAGCGAGGGACAGCTAACCTGGGGCACAGGTAACCACTTCTACGTGCCAGGCAAACCTCAAGTTGTCCTGACATCTGTATTTAAAACAATAATGGGAGTTTTCAAAGTGGCAGTGCTGTGGGGATGGGTCTCAAAGACATTTTCTCTCCATGGCTAGCCAGCCTGGATTTCTCTGGGCACTGGCAACAGCGCCTCAGCACAGCTTTCCCTGGCCAAGAGCCTGCACCTTTGTTGCTGAAGCCCCAGCACTCATCTGCACCGGGAACTCTGCGAGTGCAAACACGTTTATCTTTAAATTTTTGAAAAGAGAGGCAGCTCTGACCTTCTCCATGCTCATTTTCTCTGGCATGACGATGATGCAGCGGTAACCCTTCACTGCCGCCGCCAAGGCCAGCCCGATCCCTGCAAGCAAAGGCACGCAGAGCACTCAGTGAGCAGCAGCAAAGCACAAAACCCACAGTGCCAGCTTCAGCACGCCCTGGCTTTCATCAGATCCTCACCAAAGGCTTGAGTGGAGTGTCTCCAGAGGGGTGGCAAAGGGAATGTTTCTGCCTGTAGGGTTTACAGATGCTGATACTTGTTTGAGGTTCACAGCCCAGAGAAAGTTTAGACAAGGGTGGGGAAACTTTAACAAAGCTTTACCGCATGCACATCACCTTCCTCCCACTCATTTGTCTCACCCACTTCATTTTTCCAGAAGTAATTTGGGAAAGGAACTGTGCTTTAAGCCAGAGGACCTAGAGGAATCACTTGGATTCTGCCAAAAGATCCATAGAACCTCTATTGACTCACTTCTGCATAAATCCCTATTTGCAATGTGCTGAAGTCCTGTCTAAAAACAAATTATTTAGATGCTGTTGGTGATTGAGGTTTGAATCCACTGTGTCAGCTAGCTACCACAGTGAAGCACACCCTGCAAATCTGTACCTCCAGCCTGATTCCTGCCTGGTCACTGCCTGCACCTGACGAGCTGAGCTCAGAGGTGCTGTCCCTGTGAAGAGAAGCTTACACCTGATATCAGATCACCTCTGCTGGACAGGCTGAGCTGATCAGGTTGGCTGAGAGGTGTGAGAGGTCAGGCTGCAGCTCCCCTGCTCTTCTGGGCACCAACACATGCAGCTCACCCTACACAGAGGCTTGCTTGTTCAAAGCTGGCTCTGTTTCTGTGTGGGTTGCATAGGGGAGAGAAAAACCCCACCTGAATAATCTTTTAATTCTTCCTGTAAGAGAAGCATAACTCACACCCCAAACAACTCAAGTAGTGTTTAATATATTGGGAAAGTTTAATGTAAGGGAAAGTTTTCTCAGTATATTATAGATAAATATGGATGCCCAAATACACAAATAAATAAGACAGCAGCAGCCTCATTAAAGCCAAAGGCTGAAGTCATCCAGATCTTCCTCATGGTCTGATGAAGAAATGATTTTGAGACCTGAACTCTAATACTTTGTACTTTCTGCTACTGACCTGGAAATGCAGCAAACATCAAAATAGGACTTTGGCTGAGGAGAACTGGGATGCAGAGAGGATAAAAATATAACACATTATCTCTCACATTCAACATACTGAGTAGCTCTGAGCAGTAGAGAGCAAAAACCAATTTTCTCAGGTTACTGTGTGCCCTGGTCTTTGCTCTTATGTGACAAAAAAAAAAAAAAAAATCAGCTTTCTGAAGTAATTGTCCTGTATCTCCTTCAGTCCTGCCTTTTTGGATGCTGTGGCAATGAGAATCATTTATCAGGTACTGACCCAGAGAGAGAGGTGTCATGGTAAGACCTTGGATACTGGAGGAATGCAACACACAAGGATATTTTCCACTCCATGCCATTGTTCAGGCAGGAGGCTCAGCCACACTCACAAAGGCTTCAGCTGCCCTGAATGCCCCCAGAACCCCCTGATTCCCCCCAGAGCAGCTGCTGAGCAAACAGCAATGGATGGGATTTCTCCTTTTCTGCTGCAGGCTGGGGAGCTGGTCAGAGATCAGCTCATCCCCCCAGGCCCTCCAGGAACAGCAGAATAAAGATCTGCCTGCCCTGTGTCTCAGAAAACAGCAGTGGGTGAAGTCCAGAGAAGAATTCAGGAACAGGATCAGACACTGAACACATCAGGCAAAAGGGCAGCTTGTAGCTCACCCCATGAACCTCCTCAGAGGAGGCAGTGTATTAGATATTTAACTATTTCTCTTTACCTACATTATGTATTTTATATTTGACTTGAGGGGGAACATTCCAGGTGTGTTTGACTCCCCACGAGTAGAGCAGCTTCACACAATTACAGCTTTGCCACAGGAGCCCAGAGTTAACTCCAGACTGCTCAGATCATCAGATGCTCTGCCCTGGCCCCTGACTTAAGGGACTGTTCCTTCCTCCAGCCCTTCAAGGAGGAAAAGTGGACCCAGGTGGAATCTGCCGACAATCCAGGTGTGCAGGGGCTCTGTCAGGCAGTGCAGTAAGGATACAGCTCATCTCCCATCTCAGCTGCATCACCATGGAAAGGGCTGTTCCTCAAACCTGACAGAGGAACCACGGGACTCCCCCAACAGAATGAAGGGGAAGATCCAGATTCACACCAGTCTTATGGTGTGGATTTTTCACAATAATTTCAGTCAGACTTGAAGTCATAAAGACTCTTGTGAGTCTGGCCTAGCACTTCTTTTATTTTAAAGCAAAGAAGCTCTGCAGTTTATCAGAACCCGTTCCCACCTGCTGTGCTCAGCACAGGACACTGCAGGATTGCTCCTGGTGTGAGATGGAAGAGGCACTGCTCCCTGCACCACGCAGGCAGGAAGAGATTCCCTTTCTCCCTTGCACAGGCTGCCACCCCAAACCTGCCTTTTCCAGGAAAACCCCCACAGCATTTCCCCCACACTTTGCTCTCTCCATCCCCTACCTGTGTTCCCAGAGGTTGGCTCTATGATGGTGTCCCCAGGTTTCAGGATCCCAGCTCTCTCTGCATCCTCCACCATCCTGAGGCTGATGCGGTCCTTCACGCTGCCCCCGGCGTTGAAGTACTCACACTTGGCCACTGCAAACACACAACAGCAGGGCTGGCAGGGATTTCAAAGCTCACTCCCTGTCCTGGGCACTCTTCCACCAGAACAGGTTGCTCCAAGCCCCATCCAACCTGGCTTTAAAACCTGGTCTTGCCCTTTCCTGGTAAGTTCTCCAGCCAAAAAAGTTCTGATCAAACTGAAGTTTCTCGCCATGCTCAGCCTGAACTTTCACTCCAGTTCTCCCAGCATCAATCCCTTCACCACCTTTCAGGACTCTGATCAGAGCCTCCTAATATCTACAGTATGGCTGAGGTTAAAAACCCAAACAAACAAAAAAAGATTCACCGACAGCTTCACCCCTTTAATAATTTTCAATGATCTTTAGTGATAACTGCAGAGCTGAATTTTGCACACAATAATGAATACTCTGAATAGAAGAAGCAGTCAAAAACCTCACACAACTTCTTTAAACTTAAAAAATTATTTTCTATGAAAAACATTTAGCGTTTTGTACAGAAGTGGAAAAGCTGCAGGAATTGTTCTCATGAGGTACAAACTGAAAGATGTTTTAGATGACCAAATCCTGAAAACCAGAAAATCTGCCAAGGAAAACCAGGAATTTTTCCTCACCATTTCCTGCCAATTACCTGCACTCCTGTGGCCAGGTTATATGACACTACTAACCTGAACTACCCAAGTTTCTGAAACAGTGTTAGTTAGCTGGTTCTCTGCCTGCAGCAACTCACAGAGTTCACACTTGAGCCCGAAGTGCTTCCCAATCTTGTTGATCCGCACCAAAGGTGTATTGCCAACTTTATTCAGGATGTTTGGCAGGATCTTCGGAGGCTCTGGCCTGGTACAAACACAAACAAAGTCAGTGGATTCACAGAAGGGTCACACAACAACCACACAGCATTTATTGCTCTTTATTTCAACCAGCTTTCTCCTTCTCTCTTATCAGGCTGGTTATTTTAGCTCAAAGGAACATCCACTGGGTACAAACTCACAAGATCAAGTCCTTGATCCAAAACATGGATTAATCAGGAAATAAGATATCACTTACAGGGTGGCATGATGATGGGGGGAGGCAGAGAGGGGTTTCCCAAGTTTCCAGGTGCATTTGCTGGGTGTATCAGGACGGATCCAGTGCCTTTCCTTCTCGTTAGCCTTGCATTTCTCAGCGTCCACCCCACCAGGGACAAGATAATTGGCAGGTGCATGAGGGCATGAGTTTGTATCTGGCTTCTTCTGGGAAGGAAGAGTAGGGATTTCATTCTTGGGGGAGGAAGAAGGAAGAGGAAAGAAAAACAAAAAGACATAAAAAAAAGAGTAGTTGATGTTTTCACAGTTCTGTGAGGATGGGGAAGTGTTTCAGCATCATCTTGATTTGCCAAATCCTTATCACCAACATGAGAATCTTGCACTGCGAGTTTGGGAGCAAAGGCTCACCACGAGTGCTCTGCACAAAGACAATTTAAACACACATGTGCTCATTGTAACAAACCTCCACAGACACAAAAACAAACCAGGACTATTCTCCTGGCAGACACCCCTCCCACACCAAAAGCTCTCAGAAATGAAACCTCCCCATTCCAAGCAGGCTGGAATACAGTAAGACTGCTTGGTGTCTGATTAGAAAACTGTTCCAGGAGACTCTGCACTGCTGTTGGTGGTCACAGAGAACTCTTCCAGAAAGGTTTCAACAGCACCTTCCTCCACAGCAGCTCAGAGCCCCATCCAACCTGGCCCTGAAACATCTTGGTCTTGGCCCTTCCCTGAAAAATTCTCCAGCCAAAGAGCTTCTGATAAAACTGGAAGTTTCTCCCCTTGTTCAGAACTTTCACTCCAGTATGCCCAGCATCAATCCCTTCAGTTTATTTTATTTTTATTTATTTATTTATTTATTTATTAACCTCTTGCCTCAACAGAATTTCAGCCAAACAAACTAGAAATCTCCGTGGAAACAGGCAGGGCTCTCCCAAATGCTGGTGATGGAAAGATGGGCAAACAGTATTCCCCAAAGACCTGTGAGTACCTTAGACACGGGCCTGTCTGATACAAACTTCTCCATGGATTTTGGTGGGGGTGGTGGTACAGGAAACTCGATTTTCTTCAGGAGAATGACTGCTGTGGGTCACAAGAATGGAATCCTCTTCAAAGCTGCAGATCATACACGTTAGAAGAAAACAAAACAACAAACTGTCAGGAAACTCTCTCACAGGGGCAAAACACATCTTTTTCATTGGGAAAAAAAAAAGCAGCTGCAAAACAAGATTACTTCTATAAGCAGGATTAAAAATAAATCATGCAGCAGAGGTATTGTGCAAGACTGATGGAGGGTCCCCTGACCCTGTCCCTCCTGCATTACCTAATCTTCCCTCTGTCCTTTCCTCCACAGCCTCAGAACCAGAAAGTAAGCACAAAACATCTTTTAGCAGACCTTCTGCAACTCCAGGAGCTTGAAATCCACTAGAAATAATAGGAAATACTTCAGTTCACAGGAAATACAGTCCTAGAGAGACCAAAGGTGAAAGAGCTTCGTGGTGCTGTCCCCAAAAGACCTGCACACAACTTTGGAAAAAGTTTTATCCAGGAACAGGAGCCTCTCCACCCTTAAGGAGAGCAAAATCTCACATGTTCCTACCCAAATTTAATTAGTGATGCATGCACAGCTACAGTGATGCTGCACAAAACACACACAGCAAATGGCCCATGCTTCTAGCAGCTTTAACACACACAGCAAATGGCCCATGCTTCTAGCAGCTTTCTGCTCCAGAAATTAGTAAATACAAAATAGTAACTTCATTTCTCCTACCAGTTGTTCACAGAGCCTGGCTGTTACCTATCAATTAAAGACAAAAATCTGGCTGAAATCTTGGAAAGCATGAGGGGTTTTTTCCCCCCCCCATAATATTTGTTTTCTTCATCACTGTTTTGCAGCAAGGTTCAGCTCTTTCCATTACTGAACTGTTCTGGAAAGGGTCCCTGGCCTCATCCTCCTGACAGATGCACACAAAACACATATTTAGCACACAAAACACATATTTAAGATCTCACAGAGCTGATGGGTCTGGTGAGAAAACTGGAGAAAAAAAAACCTGGATCACAGCATCAGTGACCTTTAGTGTTTGATGCTGCAAAGTTAACACGGGCCACTAACCACTGCTGCCTCAGGCACACCAGTGCCCCTCCTGCATGCTGCTTTGAAGAAAATGCCTAAAGCATTTAAACTGCTCTCCTCTAGGGGAAAAAAACCCTCTGAAAATATCAGCTTTCCAGACTAGGCCTTGAAATAATTTTCCTTCCAGATAAAAAAATTTCCACGCCACCAAAATGATAGAATTCTATTTAATCAGGTTAATACATGCCCAAGAGCCAGGATGGACTATAACCTATCATAGACAACTGACCAGGGTTAGAATGAGGGACAGCAGTCTACAAAAGCAAATATCCCATAAATATACAAAATCTAACACCAGATTACACTGGTCTTTGCCACCAGAAATCAGTTTTACTTCCAGAGAAACCCAGCCTTCATTTCTCTTTCTAGGACAGTCTGGTTCACAGTCCAGAGTATCACTGTTTGGTTTTTTTTGTAAAGGAAAATTACTGGAGGAATTTCAAGGTTTCCTATGAGGCATATGCTCCCTGAGAGAGCTGGCATGAAACACTGGACACAGACAGTGGCTGCCTCTGCCACAGGTAACACTGACAATATTGACAAAGTCCAGCTGAAAGGGGGGCCCTGCTACCAAAGGGTCAAATAATTTCAAAATGCAGGAGAAAAGCAGCAAGGGTTTAGAGACAGGAAACTGCAAATTTCATTCTGCTTCCAAGTTATCATAAAATAGGAGCACAAAACCTGTAAAAGCTTTAAAACACTCAGTTTTAAAGCTCTCGGTGTCTTTCAAGAGCATCCAAAAACTGAGATGAAAGAGGGAGAAATTCACTGCAGTAAAACAAAAAATTAAGAGGTTTACAGTATTTGTTCTTCATATTAATGGCAGGAAAAAAAATTAATGTGGATCTTAAAAAGCTGCTTTTTTGGAGGATTCCCTCTGGACTTGGCAAGGCAATAGTATCTGATTTCCTTTATGGTAAGGCAAAAATATTAATAATTTACTAACAGCAACTCCCATTACTTCTTGAACAGCAGAAGCTGAGAAAAAGCTTATTTATTGCCCTCAAATAAGCTGTGAAATTCTCTCATATTTTATAATGGCAGTACTTGATGTTTGATCAAAGCTTCAATAATGGGGCTTCATCTCTGAACAAAAACAAGGAGATGGACAAAAAGCTAAACAACAAAAAATTGGTGACAAAAAGGTTACCAAATAATGACCTTTAGCAACATAATTCATTGCTTGCAGCCCAAGGTGACACAACCTCAGCAAAATTTGGGGCAGAGGTGGTCTAGGACATCCAAATCTCCACCCTGATCCTCCCTGCAGGCCCAAAATAGCCTTTTTTTTTCTGGAGAGGCAGCACTGGAGGATGGCAACTCTGCTTCTGTAGCTGCAGCTGAACACTGCTCAGCAGAGGCCAAGGGAGAAAAGCTGCAGGAAGAGCTGCCCATCTTTAGGAAAAAAATTCTGGCAGCTTGAATTTAATTTTCCTGTAAAGGGAAACACTGCCAAAACTAGTTGGGAGTGTGGGTAGAGTCTAACTAGAAAAGCCTGACTAGCTCCTGCCATTATATCTGCAGATAACACAAGGAAAAAAAAAAAATTAATCAGAAAGACAATTTACAAAGCCACTTAAACCTAAATCATGAAGGAGAGTGGGACTCAGAGGTACAAGATCCAGAAAGTCTCATGGGCAAGGCTCACACCCCTGGATCCATCTCCACAGGGAACCCAAGATCTGAATTATTTTCCAGCTCCTAGAGAAGGCCAGTGAGTGAAATTAATCCCTGAGCAGCCTGAGCTGAACTCCCTGCACAGATGAGTCAGGAGCTACAGTTTCTGTGGCTGTGCAGAGTGTGTGATATCAGCACTAATGTACTCAACTATTTAAACAACCCATGTGCAACAACCACATTAACTGGAGTCTGCCTGGAGCACAGAGAGCTGTCTAAAAGGCAGGAGTGAGAGCTGGATCAGAGGGAGATGGCCCCAGGGGTGACTGCTCAGGGAGGGACCAGATACAGAATTCCATTATGCTGCAGCCTGAGAAAGGGAAAGTTGATGATGTGAAACAGGTACAAAAAAAACCACTGCAGAATAGTTGTTCTGCTCAGCCTGAGTACCACAGAGCTGCAGGATCCCTGTGGATAACCAGATGCAGCAGCACCCATCCAGCCTTTGGAAACACCATAGATGTAACAGATTAAGGAGAAAGTCAAACATTTGGGTTGTTTTGCTGCTGGGGTTTTTCTGTGAGAGTGTGTGTGTGTGTGTCCTTGCTACTTCCTCAGGAGCAGTCATCCCTCCTGTGTCAGGAGATATCAAGTGACCTGAAGTAACAGGGGAATAAATTAACTTTGGCTCTAGGAAGAGATCCTTCAAGAATCCAAAGTCTTATTTCCATTTTCTCCTACAGAGCAGGTGAGGACATGCATGTCCTCTCGATGATCCCTCTTTATTAGTCAGACTGGCACACTCATAACTTTCTGAAAGGAAAAGAGAAGTTCTTTAATGCCCTCACCTCTGTAACATTGCAACGGTTAAACTCTGGCAGCAAAGCAACTTCCACTGCTGTGGCAATTGTTATTCTAGAAACCAGCCAGGGAGAACAGGGGAGTGCTCAGTTTGCTGAGCCCCCAAGAAGGGAAGCTGTGCCTGCAGCCCTCCCACAGGTGTCTGACAGCTCCATTACCTGAGTTCACTCCAACCCTGCCTGGACTCAAGCCTTCTGAGGGAAGACTGATGTCTTCAGGAGCACAGCAGCATTAGAGAAAAGACTGGAGAATGCTTTAGCTGTGTTTTTACCTCTTGCAGCCAGAAGCTTTCAGTATTTCTTTCCCTGTTTCTAGTTCCCCCTCCTTAGCACACAGAGATGGACCAACACTGCAGCAGTGCTCCCCATCTGCCCAGCTCACCAAGCCCAGGGAGAGGAGGATTCCAGGGAGGGAGACAGAGGCTCAGAGATTAAACAAGTTTCCCAGCATGACAAGAAGAGGGAGCTGCTCAATTTCTGACCAGGTCTGTAAGACAGGCAGAAGCACAGCACCCCTTCCTCAGCATTCTGGTGCCTCCTGCAAGGATTCTCAACTTTTGTTAGCACAGGGACCTCTGATAAAGGCTGGCAGAGAGCTGGGCAGGAAGAGATTTTTGGCTGACGCATGTTTTGTGGGAAAGACCAGCTGCCACCACTCTGACTGCACCCGTGGAGCTTTCAGCAGGATCCCCAGAGCAGCCAGGAGCACGGCACTGCTGTGTGCCCGGTTCCTGTGTTCACACACAGGCCACAGGCCAGTAGCCAGAGGCCAGCCCATGCCAGCCACCCTGGCAGGCTGCCTTGCTGCCAGTGACGTCCCTGAGCCTGCACGCTCCAGGACACGGGACACTCGTGCTCCTGGCTGCCACCACCCTCCTTAGAAGCACTCCCTGTGCTCAGGAAAGCTGGTAACTCCCACACAGAGGGGATGGCAGGATACCAGGAGCCACCAGCTAGTATGGAAAAGGATGCTGAGTGTAAATACCCCAGTACTGGGCACCTAAACCACACTTCACCAGTGCTGATCTCCCTACAGAAGAGAAATGCCAGGTTCTGAGCAGGTCCCAGTTTCTCAGGACATGCCTTTTCTCTCTCACATCCCCACGTTTCTCTGCCCTGATGTTCTGTGTTTTTCCGCCTTTCCACAGCGCAAGCGTTGCAGAACGCGGAGCTCTGACGCCCCAAATCAGCAAACAAACTCCTGGCAAGGGTAAACACAGTGAGCAACTCTGCTGGAACGGGGCCCAGCGCTCCAAAACCTCCATGGCCAAAGGCTTTAGGATTACAGAGATACACAGTGGGCTAGATACTCAACCAGGAGCAGAAGAATCACTGTCTTTCAACTTGTGGCTGCTTCGAGTCACCGGGAGCATTATTAACCCTGCTACTGAACAGCTCCCTCAGGTCCTAGTCAAGTTCAGATCCCTCTCAGCTGGCGAGGGGTAGCAAATGGAATCAAATGGAAAACATAAGCTTCACGGTCCAGTGCATCAGCCAAAAAAAGCTCGCGGGATAACCTCATGGCACCCACGAGAACAATGGGCAACGAGCCGAGACCAGGCTGGAGCGGCGGTGCCAAACCCCGCTTGAAACCCAAAAGGCACAAAGTCATCTTGTGAAGCTGCAGGAAAAGCAGAGAGCCCATCTCTGCCCCGGGCTCAGAGGAGGCGCTCCCAGGCATCCTCCGGCCCGTCCTGGGCATCCGCAGCAGAGCCAGCAGCGCCCGGGGCGGCTCCGGGGCTCCCCTGAGCCGCAGCTGCCTCTTCCCGGCATCGCAAAAGCGAAGCGGAAGCCCAGCTGTGCGGCACGGAGGGGACCACGGTGCGACATCTGGCCCGAGCTCCCCGCGCAAGCGGAGCCACCGCGGAGCACACGGCACGGGACCGCATCCAGACGCTTCTGGAACATCTTCACCCAGCCACACTCCGCAGCCCCTGGGGGCAGTCCGCTCCAGTCCGCAGCCCTCCATCCCCTCGGGGACGTGGGGCACGGCCGGCCGCAGCTCTCCCCACCCCAGGTCCCGCTCCCGCGGATGATGCAACGCGCGGCACCCGCCCAGCCCTCCTCACCCGCGCGATCCGGACGCTGCCAGGAAACGGCCGCTGTGGGG